ACCAGCTTCCATGGCTCTTTGGTGAAGTCCGCCACAAACTGAGGGCCACGGTGATAGGCTGGCTACCAGACATGCTCTGCACCAGCTCTGTAAGGGCGTATTTTTGCGCTTTTTACAGAGTTTACTCTCGAACCATTTGGTGTATTGTGTCACGGTTGACAGTGTTGCGCTCAGTAGGGCTTAAGGGTCTACTGCCCAGTCAATGACTGTGGAAAGTGTCAACGATAGCAAGGCAGTCAGACCACTACTGTGGAATTGGTCTTATGAGTCTATACCAGGCTCAGGGCTATTAGTGACGAACGCTTGGACCACGACAATTCCCCAAAAGGGATCTTTGTTGCGGCGACTTCTCAAAAGGGTCATTCTCTGCGGGTGGGAACTTGGGCTGAAGGGCTGAGCAATGTGCAACGTTCTCAATATTACAACGACTACTGGACAGGACTTGGTGTTACGAGATTGAACCAATCTTGCCGCGGCAACTCCCGGTTTTGGGTTAAGACGTTTCCTCAGATCATGCTACGGTGACGACTTGTCACATGTCAGGATCCATTCGATCACGGGACATTGTGGACGCGTCGCGGTGACACTTCCAAGTGTCATGGCGAGTTGCGCCCATACCCAAATACACTAAGACCGACACGGCTAGATCCGTGAACCGAACCATGTGAGGAACGACTGGCGTGCCTAGGGCCATACGGCTTCTTGGGGCACCCACGTTGGACTCACCTGCCAAGACATACCAGTTGGCCAATCCAGCACGTCGTATTCCAAAAGTGTGACGCGGTGAGTTGAACCACATCAAAAGTACCATATGGACTATGGGGTGGGGTCCTGATCACTCAGGACCTGTCCGATCGTTCAACTTTTCATTACCCTAAAAGGCAACCAATCTTAGATAGCGTAGCTACTATGCAGTTGTACAGGACTTTACTAAGCATTGTCGTAGACAGTATAAGTAGCACGTTGTTTCTTTGTATTAAGGAGCTTTCCCCCGGACTGTGAATCATTCTCATATCAGATTGTTTTGTACAATTTGCGTGCCGCGTGATTCCATCCTAAGAAGTTCTGCTACCCCTGCCCGGTTGCAACGAGTTGCTCCCTGAGCACTTGTAGCTACTGTGATTTGAGTTTGAGTTTTGAGATATCAGAAAGCCGGATTCGCCGCATCTGGTTTAGTCGCGGCATTTAGTGTCGTCGCCTTTGGGCTTTGTTGAGATTGTTTCCACACCTCTAGTTGGCAGTGCGTCAACTAGTTGTGCTCGGGTAGTTTTGGTCAGTTGGCAGTGCGTTGACTTGAGAACTTTGGTTCCACACTTCTTGCTTGGCAGTGCGTCTCCAAGTTGTGCTTGGGTTTTGGACATTGGATATTGGCTGTTAGTTGGCAGTGTGTCGACGCGGCATTTTGGTTTACTAGTTGGCAGTGCGTCGACTCAGTATATTGGTTGTATTGGTTGGCAGTGCATCAACTTGATATTTGGGCTTTGCGTCGCCATCTAGACGCCGTTGCTACGAGGGATCTTAATACTTCGTATTAAGCTCTAACTCATGATATTGTTGGTTGTGGTTGGATTAGTGTCGGTTTTGTTCGTATAGAAGATATTGGTTGAGACACCACTGTTTGCTATATATAAATTCTTGTCGCCGACTTCGTCTTCCGCGACTATTGATCTGCGTCTATTGAGAGTTGTGATACTGGTGTTCTGTCCACCCTGAAGCCCTCACATCTTTCACACACTGAGAAGCTGATTACAAGGAGTGTGAACGTGTTTATATTTGGGTTTACTTTCATAGTAGATTCACCTGTGAGCGCGCCCTCAGCATTTCACCGGCTCCCATTGTTCTCCCCGATCTGGCCCCTCATTGTTCCCTGGCCCCATTGTCTGGCGCCTCCATTGTGCTTGGTCATCCATTGTTCTGTAGGCTATATATAGTGGGCCCTGACAAGGAGAGTCCCCAACTTGGTTTCTCTTTGGACTCTCCCTTGTCAGGTTTGCCAGTCTCCTGTATTAGTCGATCCCCTTATCTGACGCTTTGGACTCTCCCTTGTCAGGACTCTGAGATCGGGCCTTGAGGTTGCCCTTACAGCTGGGGTCATTGGACGGTCAGCGCTGGTGTCGTTGTTGTTGGGGCAACATTGTGATGGATCCTCACCGCGTCCAGATTGAGGAACAACATGGGAAATTCAACTTCAAGATCAATGTTTGAGGCACCATCCATCCCAAGGGTGTCAGCGACCTTGTACTTGTCATTGACAACCTCACCGCTCCCCAATATGTTGACATCCTGACCCGTGCCATGATCCCTGTCTACAAGCACTATGAGAACTGCCGGCACGCATTCTTGTATTTCCAGCAGGACAATGACCTGAAACACACCTCAAAGCTTGCCAAGGTGTTCTTTTGTGACAACCAGATCAATGTCTTCCCATGGCCTGCCAAGTCACCTGACATGTCAACAATCGAGAACGCGTGGGCAGAGCTCAAGCAATGCGCTCATTCCCACCCCCACTACAACCAAATCTGGACCGCCGCCAAGCTTTTTGAGATTGCACAGGAGGTGTGGAAGTCGGACTCCTTCAAGGAGTATGTCATTCATTTGTATGAATCTTTCCCTCGCCGGCTGGTTCAGCTCAAGGAAAACAACTACTATTGGATCAACTACCAACTGTATATAATGCTACTATGTCTTGTATAATGTAAATAATCTTGTTCGACGCTCTACAATACCAAATGTATCTTGTGCTTCCTAAAATGGCCAAGTGTCAGAGGACGCTGCACTCCTTGGGCACGTGACCATGCACATGGCCCACTGCGCCCTCTCTGCCGACCCATGCCTGCTCATCTATTGATCACCCAGCCTCCTCCTCCTCCTTCAATCCCCACCTCTATCTGTGCCGACATCCGCCCTCTTCCTCCTTCTCCCAGCCATCTCCTTCAAATCCCCGCAGGCAGTCTAGCCAAGCCCGATTCCTTGCACCAGGGAGTGCTACTGCCGTATGCACTCCTCCCCCTCTACTTTGGCCTTCTTCCCGCGGATGTGGTCTACTGCCATACAGGCTTGTACCAGATGCCCTTGCGCCCATCCGCACCACCCCTCTTCCCAGTTGGGCATTGGTCCTCACCTCCGATGTCTCCACTGGCTGGCCTGGCACTGGCCTGGCCACTGGGCTCCTCCAGTGTGGCCTTCCACTGTTGGTGTCTCAGGAGCTGGCCATCACTGGCCCCTCTGAGCCACTCACTATCTTATCTGGGTTTGTCATTATCTACTTGTCATCTGCCATTGTCCCATGGCAGTGATATCCCATCATCATCAGTCACTTGTCACAGCTGACTATATAGTGTGATACCTGGGCACATGAATCCTTGAACTGTTCTCTAAGGATCACCCTCTGTGCTCAGGTGAGTAGTATACCTCCCTTGTATTTGATAGTCTCTAAGGATCCCCCTCTGTGCTCAGACTCATGTGAGGTTGTTTGTCAGGGGAACCCCTGCTTTCGTCCGATCATCATGGGATCTCGCATGTGACCACGCACGTGCCATCTGTCAAGCATCACATGCTTCGGTCCGGACTTCCCTGCCAAGCGCGTCCACATGACACTCCGGCCCAGACCCCCATTGTTCCGACGGTCCGGCTCCCATTGTTCCCCCCGATCCGGCCCCTCATTGTTCCCTGGCCCCATTGTCTGGCGCTTCCATTGTGCTTGGTCATCCATTGTTCTGTAGGCTATATATAGTGGGCCCTGACAAGGAGAGTCCCCAACTTGGTTTCTCTTTGGACTCTCCCTTGTCAGGTTTGCCAGTCTCCTGTACTAGTCGATCCCCTTATCTGACGCTTTGGACTCTCCCTTGTCAGGACTCTGAGATTGGGCCTCGAGGTTGCCCTTACATTGTTGTGTACTGTGTGCTCTCTTCCTTTGGGCTGGCAGGAGTTGCCCTTACAAAAGCATCTGCACAGCCCAAGCACTGAACTGGCCTAACTAACACTCTTTGTTTGCTGCACATAGAGGTCTTGGAAGCAACTATAATCATTTGGGAGTCTAAAGCACTTGCATACATTGGCTACAGAAGGCTCAATTCCACAGTGGAGCAATGTATATTGTGACAATCAACCAAAAGATGAAGTTGAAAAGAGAAGTGAATTCAAAGACTGGAGAATACAACCAAGTAGCTACAGTATTTATACCCAAATCCAGCCTGAGTCATAAGACTATGTACTGCATGGAGCACTGGTCATAGGTTGTAGTAGAACCTTCTGGAGCATGTGTTGCGCAGCCTTGAATCAATAGAGATATCCCCCTGGGCCCCTAGTCTGGACTGTGTGATGTCATGATCCGTGATAGGATAACCTGTGCCAAGATAAGATAAGATCATTGATGATAAGATGAAAAAGTAGCCAAACTATGACATATATAGGCTAGAACTGAAAAATGAAAGAACAAGAAATGCGGAGGGTTCTGCACTGGATAACAGTCACATGACATGGACTGTGGATGGCCTGCATGATGGCATCACAATGATCACAGGGAGAGCCAGGAGTGGATGGATCTGCAGCTGGTTACAGGGCTTGTTGCAGATACTTGGCACCTATGTGCAGAGGTTTGGTGCGGAGGATGGCCAAAAGTGTAGAGGGTGCCCCTCCTGTTAGGTATCCAAATCAGTCAAATTTTGACCCCTAACAGGGGGGGGTACCCTCTGCAGCAGATGTTCCTTAGGTGAGGCATTTCCCCTTTTGGAATGTGGGGTCAGGCCACAATTCCCAGTCTTTGTGTACTGACCAATGCTAATTCAATGTGGCAGACTTCTACCTGGACCTCCCCTAGCACTCAATGTCTGTACTACATCATGTAAATTGTCCAAATATTTGTAGATTCTTCGAGCAGGTGCAATATCTTGGCATTTCATTACTCAGTAAAGGACACTAGTTTCCCCATCAACATCGATATTCTGTAGGAACGAAGAGTAGGAGACCAACCAGGAACAAGTGATCATGTTCCCTTCCACTAAGTTAGCAAGAGTTTCATAGATTCAAGAAATGGCTACATCAATTCGAGATCTGTCTGCCAAATTACTACTACCGCCGATACATACACCCCCGAAACAAGAATCCATCAGACAAACGCTCGACTCGCAGGCTCGCTCTGAACAGTCCTTGCGGACAGTCCACAAGCGAGCCAAAACGTCATTGAGGCCCGGTGAGAGGCCATGTTCTCAGTCGAACGAGCGAGCGCAAAAGTCATCGAGTGGATTTGAAGGATGCGGCATTTGTAAAAATGCGAGACTCGGTCAGTTTCTATAAAAAGATCCTGATGAGTATGTATCTGAAGAATCATCGATGATGGAAGCTGGGCTATATACGTTTTTCAGATGGTCCGTGCGTTTTTCATACACGTGACGGATCACGTTAACACACGATCACATGGCTGATCACAGATCAGACCCGCCTCGACAGTGGTCCATCATGCCATCCAGTCGGTCGACTCATGCTGGCTCGAATCTGCGTTCAAATGCGAGGACGCCTGGCCGCGAGAACGCTCCACATGGCTCCCAGAAGGATACTCTGAGAGGTAGCAAGACACTCATGGGGCCTATGAATAGCCTGAGTGGCAATGTGCCACTCCAAGAACGAGGTAAGTGGCTCTCAGCCAATTGGAAGCATATCGAAGACATTCAAATATCCTGGACAGCAATTTCTCCCGTGAAACGACGCGCTGTGCCCGAGAAATCTGGCAAATCGCTTATCAATCAAGTCCCCCGACCGCTCGTCGACGAGACACCAGCAGGGCCCATCGCTACTAACAAGTCAGGAGAAACTTTCTACGTGAAAGGCATCTTTGATCGCACTCCGATACCGGACAAGCGGCGCCTCGCGAGTCTCCTCACCGAGGCGAACAAGACAAATGGGCTCTTTGCCCGCGAGGGTGATGGTCAGAGGACTCCTGCCATCCGCACGCCTGCTCGGCGGCAATTGCAGCTCGAACGGGGGCTCGGAAGCCCGCTTCTGCTTGATGGGCGGACTGGACGGACGGTCGTTTTGGAGGACGAGATCGAGTATATGCCACCCAGATGCGCCGGTACGTCGTTCGTTTCGTTTGACCGCTTTATCGCATAGCATAGTGTCTGAATCTTTCTGCTCAGAAATATACATACCCCCATTTGACTTTGAGCTTCCCAATTACAAAGCTGTTGGAGCCGCTTTGCTGGTTATCGCCTCGTTGTACCCCCTCCAAAGCACTGATCAAAAACAGACTGAAAGCCATTCGTTTGAATCTTTTGCGGCGGATAGCCAAGTTTGGACCGGCTTTCCACTTTCCCAACTCGGTGAGGGGCGTGGTGGTATGAATTTTCACGATGCTCATACTCGCTGGTGCTATAGCGGAGGAAGAACCGTTTTGCACGAATGCGTCTCGTTCGATGGTGCCCGTCAGCGGGCCAGTGTCGAAAAAGATCCCATCGACGCGAAGGACTGGCGCTCGCCGAACAATCCCCCTCGCTCTTGGTCGAACGAAAGTGGAAGTCCCGAGCCGTGTTAGGACAAAACCGAACTCTCAGTCGGATGAATCGGACAAGCACGAATTTGAGAACTTGTTCCCTGGCGTTGTGCTTGTCGATGAGTTCATGTTCGATGTATAGCCGCTAACCAAATATATGGATTTTCTACGGATCAGTCAGGAGGTTCAGTATCAGACTCTTCGTCTCTGCCTCCTTTTGATTGAAAATGAGCAAAGCATCGGTGAGTTTTCGTTGGGATTCTAGGTCTTGATCGAGCAGCCGGCGAAGCTCTGTCCCGTCGTTATCCAACAGATTGCCCGCTTTGGTGGCGATATCATCAGTGATCGCAGCAGGCACAGTGGATTACGACTCACTAGGAAAGTCGACTGAAATGAGCTTTGGGGCGTCAAACTGTTTAGATTCCACAGCCGGGAGTGTTGAAAGCAGATCAAGGATGTGACCTGAGATGGTCAAATGGTCGGGAGACAACGAAGCCAGAGCAATCGTCTAAGCGAAAAGGATCCCGATTAGTTCCGAGTTTTGAGTTTGATGCTTGGGGAATGAGTGATATACCTCTTGGACAGTCACGATACTGATATTCGATCAAGTGTTTGAACAACGTGTTGTATGCGAGGCGCACCTTGCAGGCATGACCAAGGTCTTTGACCCTATCTCTCTGAGAGCCGAGCGAATGTGCATGATCGTCTGACACATCGGGTGCTGATTCTTCGTGTCGGCATACTCATGCCACAAGCCTTCCTGGAAGTGCACCCGGAGCTCTATTTCGGGCCAGGGTAGGTAGCAGATATGGGACCATAAAATGAATGAAACGAACCGTTGAAATACGGCGCGACGTAGACACAACCAGCTTGACTCGCCGCGACGGCCTGCGGAACAGAGAATAGGCATGTCGCGAGAGTTTGGATCCCATCGTTCTGAAGATCGCGACACGCGAGCAGAGATTCCGGTGTCGCAGGAATTTTGATGCACACTCTTGAGCTGCCCCCAGCTGATTAGCTCCAGCTCAAACTTGGCGTGGTGGCAGTGAACTACACACCTCGGAATACCGAAGTCACTGAACAGCTGCACCAGCTTTTTGGCGTGAGATATCGTACGGTTTTTGTCGTATGCGGTGGACGGCGAGGTCTGAGCGTGCACGTTTCCGGTGAGATACGGAAGGACTTCCTTGGCGAGCAGCACCGTCTGATGGGTGAAGTCAGCTCTGGAGGCGTAGGCAAACCATTGGGGAATCGTATAGTCTCACAAATACATCGATCGCATCTTGTACGGAATCGACCGATCCCAGCGCAGGTCCGGTGCTCGTGCGTTTTTGCTTCGCATACTCGACGGCGTGTTTCAGCAGCAGTGCACGCTCGGGTCTGGTCGCTTGACCGTGCACGATCGCTTGATTAGAGGTCATATCGCAGAACTTGGTCTGTTGGGTGAGGCGCGCGGCGATGTCGGGATCCATCGCATCGAGGTCAACGGTGACGAGGGAGCGGATCTGCTCGAGCAGGGTCGACGCTGGAGCGGACATGGCTGTCTGCGGGCAAGCTGCGCTTCAGGTCATGAGACCCTGCCTAAGGATTCTGGCTTAGAACATGTGGATGATGGTGGGAAGTCGCCAGCGAGTCGACGAGTCTGTGGTTCTTTCGAAGTCCCGGCACTGCCCATCCCGAGGTGGCGAGAACCACGAAGCGGACAGCATACCTGAGGCTGCTAATTTACGACGACCTGTCAAGAATTTAGCCAAGATGCTTACTGGCGAGTACGCATCCCGGCAGTACGGATCGAGCGGGAGGGCGAGAAAATCACTCCCCTGGCTACCCGAGAGTCGGATGATGGTGGCAGCTCGGGCAGTCAAATTGTTCCTGGAGCGTCAACGAGTAAACAACCGATCCCAGATTCCAAAGAGATAAGCGAAGCTTTCGCTTGGAATACAACAGCTGCCAGCGAGAGTCCGGGTATCGAGGTCCAAGTCATCACTTCTTTACTCGGTGGCAGGTTCTCTCGGGAAGAGCTTGGCTTGCGCTCTGTTTTTTTGGAATTCGGATTCGGGCAGGGTCGGGTCACCAGACAAGTCGTAATTTCAGTGCAGGTTTGAGGCTGACTTGAATATGCGGATCTTAACAACACAAACAAACTGTTTTAGATAGTGGTCTGTGAATGCGGGGTGAACCTTATGTAAAGGAGTTGGAGGCTGAGCTTAGAGCTCATCGACGTGCGTCATCGAAGCCTGTTCAGCCTGCTGATGCAACTCACTGCAAATAGATGAAGAAGATCCCAGCAGGATCAAAATCGAACTTCATGATAGCTTGTTTGGGCGAGTTTCAGGAGACCGCTGCGGGGGAACAAAACTTTCGGCCCCCCATCATTGATCATCACGTGCACAGTGCGCTTGCGACGACCACGCCGACGGCGACGACTTTCCGGGTAGAGCATCTTGCAGTCGATAACCCCGCGCCTCACAGCTGAGCTGGCGCCCATCTGTCGGATAGCTATCGATCATCTTGCACTATGAAGTTCAGGTCAGCTCAGAATCTACTAGGCTGCGAGGAGCGCAGCAGCTGACGACTCCCTCCTCCGACCAGCTCTGCGCTCAAGTTTAACGCCGTGTCCGAGTGGTGGGACCAGTACATCGCATACGATGCGCTCAAGCGCTCGATATACCAACTAGAGCGAACGCAGCACGAGCACGCCGCACATGCCCCTTACCACGACCTCGAAGCGAACGAGAGCAGCGCCCTGGTCGGCGACGAGCGAGCGCATGCGACGGACGCGGTGTTCGTCCCGCAGCTCGACAAGGAACTGCGCAAGATCTGTGCGTTTTACGAGGAGCAGGCGCAGGAGGTCGTGAGAGAGGTGGCGGAGCTGGAAGAGTTGGTGCAGGAACAGGAGCAGTCGGGGGTGGATTACTACGACGGGTACGACGACGAAGATGACGACGAGGACGATGATATCAGTCTGTCTCGGAGTCCCCAGCGGTCCCGCCGGGGGTTGTCGAGCCAGCGTGTGTCCCTCGAGGTTTCTGGTGCTAGTGCGTTTTTTTATCTTCCTCGTTGGATCCCCCAGCGTATTCCCGCTTCTCATTCTCGACTAGCAGACGAATATACACGTGGCCACCGCCTGAGCATCTCATCCGTCTCCTCAGATGGGCACGGGGAATCGCATTCGCCCGCAGCACAACCACGAGGGACTATTAGCCGGATCGCAAACAAGTTCATGCGGGCCAGTGCGACCTCTTCCACTGGCCCTGAAAACGTGTGGACTTCCAAGTCTGACTTTGCGACCGATACCCGCATGCTCTATAAACGGCGCATAACGAGGCTGTACATCATGATCACGTCTCTCAGATCCTATGTCGAGGTGAACTATTCTGGTCTGCGGAAGATCCTGAAGAAGTAAGTCCTCTCTCTTCTCGAGCTTCGGTTGCCGTGCTAACGTCGCCATCCAGATACGACAAGGTTACCGACCGAGAGGTACTACATGTGTTCATGACATGCAAGTCTAGACTCACTGACGCGATCCGCAGCTGAAAGACCGGTACTTGCGCGAATCCGTCGACACCGCTCTGCCCTTCACCTCCGAATCGCGCGCCAAGTTAACCGAGTGCCTGAACCAGCTGGTAGAACTGTACACCAAGTGCGTCGCACATGGCGATCGCTCGCTCGCCAAACAACAGCTGAAGCTGCATCAACGCGAAAACATCGCCTGGGAGCGGGACACCGTCTGGCGGCAGATGATCGGCCGCGAACGGCGTGGATCGGGTATCACTTCCGGCGCGCTTGTCCAGGAGGAAGAGAGCAAGGAGGTCGCGGTTTTCCCGATCGCTGGCGCGCGAGTCCATCTGACGCGCAGGAACTTGATGTTCTTCGCGTCTGTCTTGGTGTTCCTCGTTTTGCTCAATGTGCAATCGGTCAACGGCGCGCAGGCGAACAACTGTTTTGCTATACTGATCTTCTGCACGCTTTTGTGGGCCACGGAGGCGATCCCGTTGTTTGTTACCTCGCTCACGGTCCCGCTGCTGCTGGTCACTTTCTCTGTGCTTCGGAATGGCGAGGGCACTCCCTTGACGCCTCCAGAAGCCACCACGTCAGTGAAATCCCTTCGCTTCCTTCAGATCCGTCTGACTTCTCTCTAGATTGGTCTTCTCCATGATGTTTTCGCCGACTATCATGCTGCTGATTGGAGGTTTCACGATCTCCTCTGCGCTGAGCAAGACAAATATCGACCGATTGCTTATCACGCGAGTGCTGGCTATGGCTGGCACGCGCCCGAGCACGGTTCTGCTTGCGTTCATGGGCGTGTCTTGTTTCGCCAGCATGTGGATCAGGTCGGTAGCTCGTTTCGGCTCTTGACCGACTCTGATGAAGTCTTTTCAGTAATGTGGCTGCCCCGACACTCTGTTTTGCGCTCATCAAGGTGATTGCTATCCTGACTCGTTGAACCGTTCTCATGTCCTGTTTCCGTAGCCCATCCTGAGAACGCTTCCTCCCAAGTCATCGTTCGCACCATGCCTGATCGTCAGTGTGCCCCTGCATGTGTTTTTTTGAGATCGAGAGCTGATGATCTGCCCAGCTTGCCATCGCTCTGGCCGCCAACATCGGTGGTCAATCGTCCCCCATCTCTTCACCGCAAAACCTGATCGCACTGGAGGCTATGGACCCCCCGGTGTCCTGGCTACAATGGTTCATCGTCGCTCTGCCCGTCTCTGCGATCTCGATCCTACTCATCTGGGGCCTGCTCCTCGTCTCCTACAAACCGGCCCGCGCCCCGGACGGCGGACGCGACATCGAAATCAAGCTGATTCGGCCGACACGGGAGCCTTTCACGCTGAAACAGTGGTGGGTCACGTTTGTGTGTATCCTGACGATCGCGCTGTGGTGCGTTGCGAGACAGCTGGAGAACGTGTTTGGGAACATGGGCGTGATTGCGATCATCCCCATAGTCGCGTTCTTTGCGACGGGTGTGCTGAAGAAGGTGAGCGACATATGGACTATGGCTATGGCAAGCGACGCAGCATTCTGACGCGGTACAGGATGACTTTGAGCAGTTTGCGTGGACGATCGTCTTCCTCGCGATGGGTGGCATGGCGCTGGGCAAAGGCGTCACGTCCAGTGGACTGCTCGAGATTCTCGGAGACCATATTCGTGAAATGCTGCACGGGGTGTCGCTGTACAATGTCGTACTCATCCTTTCGCCCGTTGTGCTCGTTATCTCGACTTTCATCAGCCACACCATTGCCAGCGTGCTGCTGGTCCCGATCGCGAAAGAGGTCGGACTGAGCCTGCCCGGGAATCACGCGAATCTGCTCATCTTCATCACGGGTTTGATCTGCTCGACCGGGATGGGCATGCCTGTTTCTGGATTCCCCAATCAGACTGCGTGAGTAGTGATTGTTTTAGGTCAACTGCGTGCGGTGCTCAGTAACCTTTCTTGCAGAGCCAATCAGGAAGACGATCTCGGCGTGCTGTATTTGGACAACATAGATTTTCTTAAGAACGGTGTCCCTGCGAGTGTGATCGCGACTTTGGTGCGTTGTTGCTGTCTGTGTGTGTGCCCCCCTTCTTTCATTGAGCCTGATGCAGATCGTTGCCACGGTCGGATATCTGCTCATGTTACTCATCGGGTGCGTTTGTTCTATGTCTGGCTACACTCTTGTGCTCAAAGGGGCCTGTTTATTAGCCTGTGATTGCTTCCGTTCCGGATGCGGAAAGTACAAAGACCCTACCGTATAACTAATGTCACTATCTATCGATCCCGGATATCCACGTCACATACCTACAGTACTTACGTATCTGGAGGACAGGATCTAGAGCTCTATGTGTAACAATTGCGCCGGTTGCTGCGAGATCGTTCATCCAGACCATTCAATATTACGATCGTCCGTGGAGCAGCTGCACAGCCTTATGACATGCGGAACGACATGCGCCACTTCTTTCGCGTAGACCCGTCTTCACGCGCACGCAACCTTCGAGTGTTTGTCATTTGATGTTGGTGGAAAAACGTTCCCGTCATTGGCATGGCGACAGGAGTGGTTTCCGTGGAGCGGAACGAGATGGGAAGGATATTAGGATCCACAGGCTTCTTCTCTGTGAGGTTGGCGACAGGATACTTACTCGAGATTGGATTTGCGGGTAAGCGCGCGACCGCTCGACGAACCGTAAGTATATTATGTGATGGACAGGGAGCTAGAGGGGGGTTTAAGAGGCGCCCCCTCGCTGGTTTTACCGGCTCCAGATCAATCCAGACTTGCAGGGATCGGACCGACTAACGAATAACGAATACAACTGCATGTGCATACATCTGCGGCAAGTAAAAGAGTACAACTATGGTATACGATAGGTAGTTTAAGGGGCATACGTAGAGTAGGTGGAAGAGGCCGTCCCGCGTGAAATATGTACACACGAATTAGGAATCTGAAGCAATTATCCAGCGTACAATAAAGAAACGCGAACAGCGCGTTCATCACCACGAGGAGAGCGGGACCTGGTCCGGCGCCGCCGCCTCGTACCTGCACGACGAGATCCGGGGATGGGACGACAGGAAGGAGGACGAGGACAGCCATGCGGGATTGGGCGGCCCGCTAAAGCTGCGCGAGCGCTCCTTCTGCTCCAGCAGCGCGAGGGGGACGAGCGACAGGCCCTCGCCGGGAGAGCGTGGCGTCCGCGGTGAGACAGACGCGGGGGACGCCGCGGAGTTCGAGTTCGAGTTCGAGTCCCGGTCGTCGTCTGGGACGCACAGCCGCAGGGCCGGCAGCGATCGATATGACGCCCTGCGGGATATGGATCAGCGAGTGGGGAGGGGGGAACCGGATCTATCCGTCCGCACCTCCTCGTGTCCTCCTCGTAGCTGCCGATGCTCCCGCGCCGGCTGCGCTCGTCGTCGAGCTTGAGCCGGCGCAGGACGGCCGCGGAGTCGAGCGCGTGCGCGCCCCCGCCGCGCATGTCCTCGAGTGCGGATATCGGGGGCAGCGCGTAGAGATCTGGTTTCGACGAAGGCGCGGCGGACGCGTTGTGCGCGACGACAGGCAGCTGTAGCGGTGGCCGCGGGGACGACATATCCCACGACGACCGGCGCTGGGGGTACGGTGCGAATCGATGTGTGGATGAGGATGCAGGTGCCGGTGCGGGTCGGTCTTGCGCCGGCGCCGGCGCATGCAGCTGCAGCTGTGCGACGGTGCCCGCCTCCCTTGGGGGAGGTGGCGGGACGACGCGGCGCGCTCTGCGTCGCCCGGAATTCGCAACGATCTGGCCGTATCCTGGCTGGTCAGGCGAGAGACACGTGCCGGGAAACGTTGGCCTAGCAGACATGTTAGGCATATATACATTCAAAACGCATGCGGCGCGGAATGCCGGCTTGACGCACCCAAAGAGCGGGACAAGATCCTCGCGGATGTTCCACGCCACTCTGCGGACAGGTTAGGCAACAGCGATGTCAGGGGATACGGGATGCACGGACCGTCGCGCGAGGCGCAGCGCCGTCTGGATGGATGGATCCGTTAATCCGGGGATGGCAGTGGGAATGCAGCCAGTCGTACCTCGTATGGCATCCACGTTCCCTGGATCTTGAGATATCCGCCTCGCACCCGGCGGATGACACTCGCCAGCTCGGGCTGCGAGTCGACCATCTTCACAATATCAGCTGCGGGGGACGTCGGTCAGGCAAGGCTAGGCTCGTGCGAGGCCAAGGACAGCCGAGATGCACACCTTTAGAATTACCCAAGGCTGAGCAAGGACGAGGCAATCAGCTCCACGATCAAACGCGTCGGATGCACGACGACGCACCTTTCCAGATTCCTGTCCACAGAATATACCCATCGTCGATGTCCATCATGATCCACTGTCCGTTGAGCGGGTACTCGTAGACCGGGCTGCAGACGTCAGCGTCCGCGCGATGCGCTGCAGCGATGGAACCGGGACGCACATGTATCCCCGGGGATCATTGCTGGTGATATACCGCCCCTTGGCGATGGGGTGGCTCGGGCATGCGAAGGGCCGGAAGCGCGGGCTCTGAGACGAGGACGTCGAGGGCAGAGGCGAGTCCTGGATCGGCGGTCTGTGAATTGAGCGGCGGCGAAAGACGGTGGGTGGCGCACCTCCATTCAAGGCAAGAGTAACGTTGACAGACGCCGAAATGCTGTTGTTGTTGGGCACTGAGGAAGGCACAGGGAGGGGGGGAGGGGAGTTGGCGGGCAGAGAAGCGAGAAAGCAAACGACCGGTTTTGCGGGCGCCCGTTTGTTCAAATGCATTTCCGTAGGATGACTATGTAAGGCAAGCGATGGAGATTGACGTCGGGTGGCCTGGGTGGTCGATGGATCTCCAAGCCCAAGACCAAGAACAGGCCGCCCTGCAGATGCGATCTCGGGGAATTCTTCTGCTGATGCCGTGCTAATGTTATTGGAATCAGTTGGGATTGGGTGCGGGCCTTCTGGCAGGGTCGGCGGCCGTGCCACACTGCACTGTCCACAACTAGCCTCGCGCACCAAAGACCAGCGCAGCTGTGAGTCGCTGTCATCGTGTCGCTGCCACAGCAGGCATTTCGTCGCGACGGACGAGGGCCGATCACGGCTAGCAGGACAGTGTCCCGGATATGGCCGGGCAATTCTGAGTGTCTCCGCTCAAAAATCGCGGAGAGAACGGTGCCAGTCCATAACAGGCAGGTCTTCTCGATCGTGATTCGTGGAGACGTCAGCACGTTCCTTGATCCTCGATCGCTGCGTGGGAGAATCGTGTATCCAGGCTGTCGAGTTCTTATCTCTCGGTACCGGGGACGAAGAACCCCGCACTGACAGTTCATGCGCTGATAAACCTTCCTCGACAAATGCGCTCGGCATCAAACGTCCATTTCCGTTGTCTTCCATTGGCTTTCCATGCAACAAAACGGGAGAGTCGAGATCATATGTCGTAGTTATGTTACGGTGCGGTGGCGTCATCCCACCCCCTTCGTCATTTTCAGTTCGCTCATCAAACTCCGAGATGGGCGAGCGCACGTCGAACCACGGCGGCCTCGGGCCCGGCGCCCGTTGTGTACACAATCTCGCTCACCGCAAAGCCGTTGAAGCGGCTGGAGGCGGAAATCGTGTATGCCCCCATGTTCTCAAAGACCAGCCAGTCCCCGATGCGCAGCGCCCGGGGCAGCAGAATGCTCTCGGCTACACAGTCAACCGAATCACATGTCGGGCCCCACAAGCTGCACGTGACGAGTGCTGTCTCGGTGTCTGAGGCCCCTGACATGTGCAGGACGTAGGGCGCGGGACGAGCGATGTGCGGGTCGAATATCAGACAGTTGAACGCCCCATAGACCCCATCGCTGATGTAGTCTGCGCACCAGATGAGCAGATAGCACTTCAGCCCCGGAAACTCACGCTTCGCTTACACTTCACCGCTGGTCTGCCCACGTCATGTTGCATATCAGCCCCTTCAAGCACCGCTGGAGCTCGCCTCGCGATGATGCTTGTAGCCAGGCGGAACGCGTTTGACACATAGTAGCGGCCCGGCTCAGCGATCAGCTTCACCTTCCCCAGACGCTGGGGAAAGTATCGATCAATGCCCTCCATCAAACACCGGGCCGCATCCTCAAACAGCGCGTCGATAAATCCGCCCCCGACGTCCAGCAGGGAGAACGCGTAGCCGGCACTCGCGCCGATGTCAAACGCGGTGCGCGCCCGCGCGACGGCATCGATGTACGCGCGCGGGTCCGTGCACCCGCTCCCGACGTGGAAGCTCACCCCGACGACGTTGAGACCCAGCGCTTGTGCGTCCGCGAGCAGGCCCGGGACGTCCGCCAGCGCGGCGCCGAACTTGGTGCCCAGCTGGCTCGAGCTGCGTGTGTCGTCGGCCAGGATGCGCACGACGAGCTGCGCGTGCGGGTGCGCGGTGGCGATCTTGTGCAGCTCGTCTGTGTTGTCGAACGTCAGCAGGGCGACCCCTGCCTTGGCGGCGCGCTGGACGGACGACTGCGCCTTGCAGGGATTGGCGAAGATGATGCGGGACGGGTCGGTGCCCATCGCCAGCACTTGCGATATCTCCCCGTCCGACGCGCAGTCGAAGCCGGCGCCCAGTGCAGCGAGGAGGCGCAGAACGTAAGGGTCCGGGTTGCATTTAACAGCTTTTGAAGTTCAGCTAAGGGTGCGAACAAAGCGGCGGCAGCGGGCGCACCGTAGTGGGGCTGGATCTCGGGCAGTGCGGCCGTCCAGCGCACATGCTGCCGATAAACCTCGCTCAGGTCGGCGACGTAGAACGCACCCTCCGCGTTGGTCTTGTTTTCTGCTGCAAGGCGTGGCGCCGCCAGGGCGCCGTTGTGCAGATGCACATCCGGGTGGCCGTCATGGAGAGGCGGGAGGCGTCCCATAGCGCAGTCAGAAGCAGCATGAGCACCGAGACCGTTCTTGGGCTCTCTTCCAGCGTCGAAATCGAACAAAGCGGCCATCGAATGTGGGGGGTGCCAGAGATGGTGGATCCGATGCGAGTGTTCCAAAGACATGGTGCGCTGAGCTGTGATCTGGCCGCGGATGTCGGTGGTCACTGCAACTGATGAGCTACGAGGCGGCGATATGGTTGACGGGGTTGTTCGATTTCTTGAATGACAACCGAACAGCAAAAGAAGGTTCCGAAGGGGCGCCATGCTAGCTCCTCGATTGAGCGAGTATGGGCGATGAGTCGAAGGCAGCGGCTTTGACTAACGCGGATGGGCGATGTGCTAGCTAGTTGCATCTGCGGAAGGGTTGGTCTTCGAGACGGAGGAACAGTAGCCTCTACAATCACTACCGGTTCGTGAACAGTCGCACAGAGGATCGGTCGCCCATTGACCTGGATGGACTTGTGTTTTTTAAAAAGGATCTGATTGCAGATTTCTCCTGTGTCTATGTGCCACAGAAACGATCCAAGTAGCAAGACCAGTGAGTTATACTCAGTTGTGGGGAAAGGAAGCTTTGACGTGTGGCTGTGTGAGTCCATCATTGGGTCTCGACGTTCATGGATGATGGATGGCCCAAGCGCAGCACCAACTCCATTTGTGAGAGCGCTAGTCGGGCGAGACTTGAGAGCCACCTGGTCACGCACCCGAAATGATCGTTCAAGTTATAATTATTCTCGGAGGTCTCCATTCTGACGGCACATCCATCTGTCAGCGTCGCAGAGCTTTCTCGAATACCGGAGACACCAAACGCGGAGCCACCGCACCCGGGACGTGCGATATTATGTATCCTAATCAAACGCGACCCGAGCGTCGCCACTTCTAGCAAGACCTGACCTGGGCTCGACCCGCTACGTACAGTAGCGTCGGCTGCTCGGCAGTTAGCTCTACCTGAGCTCATTTTTGGAGAGACCCACTGTAACAACAGCACAGTCCAAGATCCCTCGGTCTGCATTAATTCTCTTACGACGTCCGACTAACGATATTTCCGTCCGTTGCCGCCGGTCGCAACCAGGTGACACGAATATGGCTCAACGACGTGTGCGCGCCAAAGTCTAACTACGGCAACCGCCAGCTCGAAGATCCCACGGTCTCCTCAGGACCATCGGACCGGAAGCCACCTCGTCGAATTCCTCGATCAAGATCCCCGAGAAGCGCCGCTGGGCGGATGTTCTGTCCACCCGCGCGATCTGTCACTGCCGGAAGAATATGATCAGTTGATCAGAGATTGACCACGCGAGCTGGGAACTCCGCAGCAGCGAAGCACCGGACGTCTCAACTTTGATTGTCTGTGCACCCATCATCATCAGTCCATGAGGCCTGCCACTCCAGACCAAGAGGGCCTGTCGTGCCGATGAGCAGTATGTGCGTCTTCCAGATGCCTCAGGGTGATCATAGGGGGCGTGTATCAGAGGCCCTGGAACCGCCGCTTGATTGGCCATGGCGAACGGGAGGCGGATTCCCGATCTGCTGCATACACCTCACCTGCGTCTAAGGCTCACAAGAGGCGTACTCAAACAGCGTCTGACTTCGGTTCATGCTCTGCCGATTCGGACGATGATGCCGACTGGCTATCTCCACCCTTCAGCCGGACCGCAGACCGATCGTGCCGACCAGTTTCTGACCTATTGCCGCTCGAGGCCCGTGGACCGGCGCTGTCATTCCTGAAAACAATTCAAAGGGTTGTAGTTGGAGTCGACTTTGCGTTACCGGTGGCTACTCTTCGAGCCAGGGTAGCGGCGGCACTGGTTCCAGTGGGGCAGAATAGGCGCCCATACGTGACTACATCAGCATCGCCGGCTGTGGGATAAAGGGATCACATCAGATCCTGGATCCGCCATGGCTGACATCGACTGATCCACTGACAACAGTTCAAGGACCAGGTGCAGTTGACCGACGCGCCTCTTTCACTTTTCCCAAACGGCACACAGTAACCGGTCTTTCAGCGTGACCTTTTCCATTCAATTCGGCTAGCATTCACGGATCTTGGATGCGCGACGGCTGTTACGCCAGGGACGGACAAGGTGAGAACGAGGTTCAATCAGCATGCCGAAAAATCACTCCTCGGTGATTGTTCGAGACCTACGGCCCATCAGGGAGGGCATCTTTTTGCGCGATTTTCGGGGCGCACCGGCCGCCCCATTCTTACCGTGAGGGATTCATCTCCGTTCTGAGTAGGTCCCCGAGATGCTCTATTCACTCTGTAGCTTCTCGTGAGCCGGCTTCCATGATATCCATCAAACACTGGATAGTCTCATAGAACCTGCGCTGGACTACTCTTATATCACGGGAACGGCTTGCTAGCACATTTAAATCTTCTTCAGCTTCACTATCGCTGAAATTTCATTCCAGAAACGAACAGAGTCTATCTATCCTTTCCATCCTTGGTCTGGGCGAGGCCAACCACTTTCACCCCTTGGAGAGTTACGGTATGATCTGGCAGCGCCTTGCCAAAGTTGCCATGTCCCTGCAACCACGGTATCATCTGGGAGCAGGCGAAGGGCCGCCGGTCAACGTCGAACGCCTCTCCCTTCTGTTTCACTGTCAGAGCCAAGCCTAAAAATCTTCTCGTCTGACTTGGTGTCTGAGTATCAGCTGGCCGGTGCGTACATGCCGACTTACTTATGTTGCGCTGCTTGTGCGCTACTATCGATTGGCTTGCTGATGTCTCGACATCGCCTATCTCAGGATACCATGGGCGCTGAAATTCCCCCATTATTATCGGACATGCTTTCGCTGAGCCACGTGCCCGTGTGTGTTACAGTATAGGTATCTAACCCCCCCTTCATCTCTATCCGATATCAGATTTCTGTCGAGGCTATGGGGGGACGTTTGTCGCCATGCTGTCTTGTTTCAAACGCCTTGGCGTGAAAGGCAGACTTTACGGAATATCATGAGGTGTGACAATCTCCTCGTTTTCCTCTCTAACTCCGCACCGATTGCTCAGCGTTTGCGACTCGCTTCCTGTGACCGAGTCTGTGATACCATGGATGGGTTCCGACGAGATCTCCTTTGAATGTTCGGAAACCACGCGGGTCTCGCGATCGGGCTCCTGGCCATTCGTGGAAATACGGGTTGTCGGGCTGTCAAATGGGACGATCTCATCCCGCAGACCATCGATCTCATTGGCTGGTTTTCGCGATCTTGTTGTACAGTCGAGTGTCATTCTCCCAATAGAAGGCTCTGATGAAGAGCTGGTTACAACTTTCGAACATCAGCCAGAGACTGCAAACGAGATGCACTCGCTGAGAAATTGCTCTCAGTGTTCCCATTTGAGCGGTAAGAGATCGATGCCTTTTTGGCAGTCCGAGGAGCTATATTGCTCCCATGCGAGGCCGCCGCCATGCCGATCGTCATGAAGACTCTTGGCCGCCATCTGCGACTCAGCAGGTGATGGAGAGAGGAGTGAGAGACGACTGCTGACTGTCGAGTGCGCGAAAAAGGAAACGATGGGCACAGGCTTGTCAATATAGTCTCAGGCCATTCAAATCTGCGGGCTTAACCTTGACTAGGGCCGAGATCGTGATGCGAGTGATATTTCTTGCTTAGACCTTCCTAATCGAGATGCGCAGGAGTAGTTTGGCTGTGTATCGCCCGTCTCTGCTGGTGATGGCGCAAATCAGGGGTCACAGAGTAACTTTACCATGCTTTGCTGTGCTAGATTTCTCTTGTCCGTAGATTACATAAACTTCCAACCACCCAGTCCCTTGTGCCCGAAGTTTTTTGGCTCAAGAGCCTCATGATCAACGCCTGGGTTTATCCGAAGACCACGTGACTATCTGACACGTAGGAGGGCGTGATTTAGCATCCCTGGAACAAATTCTCATTTCCTCACTCTCTCCTCTTCGTCCGCCACATCGTTACGTCTGTTGCCGCCATGTCTGGTGAAGGAGAAGATGGCAGCATTCTCGAGAAGCTGGACCAGGTCGTCCCGGCCCCTCTCGCCCAATTCGACGCCTTCTCCAAGGTCCCGTCGTCATACAAATCGCAGTCGGACTCGCGCGGGTTCCTTACCCTCTTCGTCGCCTTCGTCACGTTCCTGCTCATGCTGAACGATATCGGGGAGTATGTCTTCGGATGGCCGGACCATGAATTCAGCGTCGATACCGTCCAAGGCAGTTTTATGAATATTAACGTGGATATGGTCGTTGCTATGCCTTGCTCGTGTGCGTCTCCCACCCCTATTCTCTGCGTCCCGCTGAATCCACCTGTAGTCCTCAGCGTCGATCTCCGCGACGCCATCGGCGACCGTTTGTTCTTGAGCTCGACACGCAGTATCCGCCGTGATGGGACGAAGTTCGACCTCGGCCAAGCCACGGCTTTGCAGTGCGTCCGGCTCTTCTGCCATTCTTTCGAATACGGTCAAACCTAGTTCCAGGGAGCACACCAAGGCCTTGTCAGCCCGCCAAGCTATCGCCCAATCCCGCAAGTCGCGTGGCCTCTTCGGAGGACTGTTCCGGTGGGACACCACGCCGCACATGCCGTCATACAAGCACGAGCCCGACGCCAAGGGTTGCAGGATCTCGGGAATGCTAGAGGTCAAGAAGGTTACGGCCAACTTGCACATTACGACGCTGGGGCATGGCTATGCATCTCACCAGCATGTAGATCACACGCGTATGTGGTGCAACCCAAGACCGGTTTGTTCTCGTCTGACCATGCAGGACAGTGATGAATCTCTCGCATGTTATCACGGAATTCTCTTTCGGGCCCTACTTCCCGGAGATCGTCCAGCCTCTGGATAACTCTTTTGAAGTCACCACAGACCGTACGTTGCGTTTATCCCGCATATTCTCAGACTCTCATGTCTGCCCACAGACTTTGTGGCATATCAGTACTTCCTGCATGTCGTTCCCACTACTTACATTGCACCCCGCTCTTCCCCGTTGCACACAAACCAGTACAGCGTCACTCACTACACCCGCGTTTTCGGCCCGCACGACGGCACTCCCGGCATCTTCTTCAAGTTTGACCTGGATCCTATGAGTTTGACTATCCACCAGCGCACCCCGAGTTTCATCCAGTTGCTCATTCGGTGGGTGTTCGCTTGCTTGTCTTTGCCCCTGGGCTCGGGCTGATCGGTCGCAGGCTGGTCGGTGTGATTGGAGGTGTCTTTACCTGCATGTCGTGGAGTATCAAGGCCGGCTCCGCTGCGGTTGCAGCAGTTGTTGGAGAGTCGGAAGATGAAATCACACCAGCGGCTGCGAGTACCGGCGCTTCGACTCTCCGGGGCAAGTTCAGTGGCTCGTCCCTCCGGTCCAGGCCGAAGTCGATCGGAAAGATGATTCCACAAGGTGGTGGATGGGTCATGGAGGGTACTCCCGGTACGTTACTTGCGAAGTTAGAGTACCGACCCGCCCTAATTCGGATGCAGGCTCGCCCTATAGCGGGACCCCCGTCTCTGGGTCCTTCCCCTCCTCGCCGTATGCAACGCCATCCCCGTACATCAACTCACCATACACGTCGCAACCGAGTTCTCCCATGCCCGGCAGTGCGTCGTTTGGCCCGCCTCCCAGCGCCGGCCCGCCGCGCTCCGGTCACATCCGTACCAATTCGATGGCAGCGTTGTCGCCCGCGTCTGCCAATTTGGGAAGTCCCCGGCCGAGGCCAGTTAGCATCAACGGTGCTCTGTCCGTCACCAGTCCGCTCGGCACTGGAGGATACGCCCAGAACGGACCCAGTCTCCCCGGAACGCCGCAATACGGCATGTTCCCCCCGACCCCGAACCCCACTGCCGGTTTCAGCATTCCTCCGCCCCCTAAAAGAGACGGCAAGAAGGATGACTAGGGTGCAGACTTTTGCTGTGTTTGTCCTTTCAGAGGGTGTAAAATATGGTGGGTGTGGTATATATGTGTATGCGATGCACCAATGAATAGCTTTCGTTTACCCTGGGGGGCCAACCTGCCGTAGTGTTTGCGTTCTTCGGATCGTCACAGCTTAGAGCTCGATACATGACAGAATACTTACATTAGCTCTGCGTACAATTCATGCTTCTACGTGCATTCTAATCTTCTCCCACAGCTTTGATTCGGACACCTCCCATCTTGGGTGGAAGCCTGAGCGTGTCATTCCTCCGCCAGAACTCGACGAGGATATCAGCGATATGTGTGGGATTGTCCTAGAACCGCTCAGTAACGCAAGACTGATCGCGCAACTAGTCGCGCACTTCATGGAGCAGATGGCCCACTCCACCGCCCGCTACGATCATCTGGAATTTGCCTTGCATTTGAGCGATCATCAGTGGTTTGTCAAGCCGGTCGGTGCCTGCCAGCAGGAGCAGTCGGGCAGTGCGAGCAGCGAGAAAGGCAGCCGAGAGACCAGAGAACCAGCCTACCCTCTTGTCAGTGAGATATCCGTTCTTCAAAGTGCCGCTACTCGCTGGTCCAATACGGCGCCGTCGAGCGCAACGGGGTTCTCCAAACGAAGGGGAATCCAACCGAGGATGACGCTGGTTCTGGTGTGATGATGGAAGGTACAGATATGCGCGCGGAGTGTGAATTGTGGATCGCCTTGGTCTTGAAACTGCCAGTAGAGACTGTCATTCGGAGTCGACTCTACACCAGACAAGATACCCACTGCCACTCGACAGCATCCTCAACTGAATCAAACCCGTCAGGACGAGAGTTGAGAAGGTTTTGCATGTGCGGGAGAGCTTCCATCGCCGATCCTGAGGAGGATGAGACAAATCGAACTTAACCGTTCACCGAAACTCTGACCTTCAACAACATCCAGTACTGCCACGCCGGTCACCCGGAACTTGCGCTCTTGGATTCTGGGACAAGCCCTCGTGACGACGGAACCACCCATGCTGTGGCCGATTAGCTGCGACCGATTCACGATCCTGTAGATGGGCGCGTATCATGGGGCTCACGAGTAAGGAAGGGGCAGCAGATGCGTCGGGAAAGACGGTAGAGATGATCTCGACCAGATCATCCACCAAGATGTTGATCGAGAGATCCTCGTCTTCCTTGCTGCCTTCCGGCAGGGACTTTGTCTTTCCTGATGGGTATGACCGAAGTGTTTTCGAAGCCACAGAAAAGTGACGACGAACCGTGCCGCCTCGCGTCTAATGCAAGAACACCACATTCTCCCTTGGTCATGCCTGCGATCTCCTTCGCGAGACAGGCGAAGCTGAGTCCAGAGTATCCCGCTCCGTGATGGCATACTAACACGGTACCCCCAGCTTGATCGGGCGGCGTGTAGTAGACGCGCACGTCCAGATTACGGGAAGACACGACGACCTGAAGCGCGTCGGAGAAGAATCCGGAGGCGGAGATGGGCGCGAAGTCGGGATTGGGTGGCCGTTTGGCTTTGGGCTTGCGAGTGAGACGCGGGCTGCGCGATGATGGGTGTCTTAGATGTGTCTGGTTCATACGGTCTAATACGCACACTGCTGGTGGACCTAGTCCGCTGCCTATATCACCGGGAAGCTGGCCCACTGTGTCGGACGATTCCCCATCCCCATCCTCATCCTCGTCACGCAAATTCGGTAGATCGGCGGGAAGCTTGGCCAATCGGGCGCTCATGGCCGAGCGAAGGAGATCGGACATTTCGAAACTGAAGAATGTTTGGGAAGTTGACCAGATCTGCTGCCAGCTCTTGAAGGCAACTTGGGAGCCGCTGGGATGATCCTCGTGAGTCACGGTGACTTAGTCATCTGCCTTCTTTATCTGCGACTGTTTGCTGGCATCATTTCTCAATTTGATTTCATACTGCATGCGAATTTCAATCCTTACGGGTCAAAGGGGCTGTCGGAGACCACTCTACTCCATTCACCTTTTGCGAAGGCTTCGGAGCACTGGAACGGAATAAAGCATCCATAACAGGGACACCAGCTACTTTTCAAGGTAGTGTGAGTGCTGAGACGGACTTTTTCATGCGCAATGTTTCGTCGACTCGATCGCTTCCGGTCTCAGCGTCTGAAGAGAGGGGCCCTATGTCGAATCCCTCCACTCCTTATATCTCTTCCGCGACGAGGAAGACTCACAAAATTACGAGATGCTTGTACCCATCGTCATGAATGACCCACGGGCCGGTGATTCTACCCACATGCCTTTCGATTCCCTACCTACATCGCCCATGACCGAGGATGAGGCCAGTTCGTTCTCCTTCGGTACGTATCCCCGTTCTCGACTGGAGATTAAACACAACTGAAACAACGATGGGCAGCCCACTCACCCGAGTTAACCCATTCGGCGCCCGTGCATGCGCCTTCTTATGCTGACCTGATCGAACGAAAACTTACCATCCGCGTCCCGGCCGAATACTTGCCACTCTCCCCACCTCCGTCCGCTGAGCTTCCCGCTGTCCCGCGTGGCGTTCCACCAGCCGTAGCAACCGCGGCTTCCATGAGCGCGTCGCACCCCCATCCCGGAACGACCTCCCCGAAACGGCATTCCCTGACACCCGGCGTGCAGTCACTCATCCAGCGGCGACGGGAATCGGCACCTGTGCATTTATTGTCTGCGTCCTGGGTCAATGGCGCCGGATCCGGGCTTGCGCCATCAGCGACGAGTCAGGCAATCACCGTGATGCCGACCAACCTCGAATTGCAAACAGCGGACCAACAGGCTACGCCAGTATCGCATCCGCTGCAGTTCCAGCAGCAGGTGCCATCGGAGCCAGCATTGGAAGTCGAGCCCCCTGCTGCTATCATACCGGAAGAGGAAGACGATCCCGCAGACAGAACTGATTCGGGATATGCGAGCGGAGAGACGAGAGCTGTCAACACCGCTGCTTCAGCTGGCCTCCCCCCTCCTCCATTACCATCCTCGAATCCCACGAGCAGTGCCATCCATCTTCCCACCGCCGCAGCCCACCAAGCACTATCTCACGACATCTTGCTCCCTGAATCGCCCCGTCATGCTCCAACGGCCCCGGATGTTCAGTCTCCAACTCAGAAGCACTTCCACGAGCTCAATCGACCCCGCCGGAAGTCGAATGCTGGGCAGCACACCCCAAACGACCTTCTGGCGCCGCCACCGATGCCCTGCCAGAAGTTGCGTAAGTCGCCTTCGATCCAGGGCTCGCCGGTGAACGTCTCGGTTATCGACTTTGAGAGCACCGACGAGGAGGAGATGGGAGGGGAGGAAGAAAAGAGTAAGGATAAGGAGGAGGATGTAGATGAGGACGTAGATGAAGACGAGGACGACGAGGACGACAACCACCAATTGGAGTTCCGTCGCGGACAACAGGATGGACGCTTTGCTTCGGAAGAATCGGACCGCGATCTGACTCGCTGGGCGCCGGAACCCGACGTCCCGCTATTGCCCCTTGGCCAGCCCCAGTTCCCCAATCAGCAGCACCCGGGATCGTCGCCTTCGCACACGTCGCTCGCCACATCCGCCTCCGCAAGGAGCGGGGATCCAAATTACACTTCGCGGCGGCAGCAGATGAAGCACCACACACTGCTCGGTCTGTCGTCGATGCCGACCGAGCTGATCGAGCGAGACGTCGACTATAGTATGCGCGCGCTGATGGACCGGGAGATGTTTGCACGGATTCTCAAAGATCCTCTAGCGAGACAGCGGTATCGCGAGTTCCTGGCTGCTGCGGATGGGCCCTCGGGCACGGCGGAACTGGATTTCTGGACGGATTCGAGTTATCTAGTGCAGAACATGGACAAGCTATATGCGGATGGCGCCGCATTCAAGGGTCCGTATGCTTTTTCATTGTGCCGCGAAGATCATTCTGATGGTGAATGCAGAGTTGTACTTGTCGAATCTGAGCGAAAGTCAGGTCAATCTGAACCCCGAGTCGAGACGGGAGCTGCTCTCGGCGCTGCAGCGCGTCAGTGCGGTGAACGTATCCCTCGCTAGCTCTCAGGCTGAGATACTCGAGAGTTTATATCAGGATGGTTTCCAGGTATGTTCTTGGGCGCCTCTTCGCTCGAGTGTCCCTCATGCGTGTGCTAGCGATATGTGAAGCACCAGATTATCCAGGAAACTCATGTCACGCTTGGGAAAGCCAACCTGGCCTCCAGTGATAGTGAAGGGCTGGGCGATACGTTTGTACTCACAAATCCCCGACTGCCCGACCATCCTATCGTGCTAGTTTCGGACGGATTTATGGCCATCACCGGGTACTCAAAAGCACAGATCATCGGCAGAAATTGCCGCTTCCTGCAGGGTCCTGGGACGGCGCCAGCAAGTGTGCAGAGGATCCGGAATGGGCTGAATAACGGAACGGGATGCTCAGAGCTGTTGCTCAACTACCGGCGAAACGGGGAGCCGTTCTATTGTGTGCGTTTGCTTCTCTCGAATGACCTGCTCCTGTGCTGATGTTGTTGCAGCTGTTGTGCATCATCCCGGTCCGGGACATTCAAGGGTCAATCATCTACTTTATAGGCGGACAGACGAATGTGACTGGTTTGCTCGCCAACGAGCGCGGTCTGGGGCTGCAGACGACGACAGACTCGCAGAGCCAGACCCCGATCGAGATGTCGCCGAATCTGGCCTCCTTCCGAGATTATGGCGTGGTGGCGAGCAGTCCTACCTCTCAGCATGCGGCTGCTGGGTCCGTCGCCACGACGGCGAACAAGCCCGGGACTGCTGGCTTCTTCAAAGGGTTGTTTGGACACAGTCACCGTGCTGCGGCCGGGAAGAGCGTGATTGCCGGCGCAGAGGCCACGCTGAATGGGCCCGGTGTCCACGGCCTGCATGACCAGTATGCTATCTTCCAGAACACGTACAACAAGGTCATGATCGTCAAGCTCAAGAAGCGGGAGGTGATCTTCGTGTCGCCCCAGATGTTGTGTGAGTGGTTACCTTTGAAATGGCTCCAAAATAGCGAGGTTCATCGAATCCAGCATTCCTGGGACTTCCGAGTCGGTCACCACGAGATGTGAATTCATCACCGCTAATTCGGGCAGATGTGGCTTCGCTCATTACCGCCGGCGAAGACAGGAATGAGACGCGGCATATGCGCGAAGACGTGAAAGACGCGATTCGGCGGGGTGTTCCCTTATCCTTGCGTTGCGCTATCAAAGTGCCAAACAAGGGATTGCTAGTGAGTTACATCTATGTGTACGCGCCCGATCAAAGAGACGCTGATATCTTGTTTCTCAAGCCACGCTCAACAGACATCAGTCGCCACAAGTTTGGGATGATGCATATGACGCCGATTAAAGATGCAGATAACTCGGCTGTAGCCTTTGTTGTGATCTTTGGTTGATCTTGTTTATGTATCTATCTGTAGGCAGTATCTTCCATATTTACTTATACTACGCAAGGTGCAACCGCTTCGTTTGCTGGTCCGACCGCCTATTCTCCAAATACATGCGCCATGAAAACGCGCTTGTGCAGCTTCGCTCCAGCCTCGTCGATCGCTTTGATCTCTTCCGCAGTGAGATCGGCCACATCGGCCGAAGCCAGATACTCCTTAAGCCGATCTTCCTTGCTCGAGGTCCTGTGGATGCATACGCTTAGCACAGAAGCACTGTCAATGAGCGAGTCCAGATGAATCGGACGCACGTAACGACCACCGCCCCCTTCTGCCAGAGCCACTTCGTCAGGACTTGCGCGGAGGTCACGCTTCCCCCGAGGCGAGAGATGATGCGCGTGAGGACCTCATCGACGGGCCCACCGGGTGCACGCACGAGGGGAGTAAGACCGCCGTACGATTCAATCTTGATCCCCTTCTCCTGGGCGTACGCGAGGATGGGTTCCGCTGCTTTGTACACATAGCTAGGAAGCCGTGGGGAGTCAGATCCCTAGAATGGGAACGAAGAAACAAGTGAGATCGCCACGCACGGGTGCAGCTCGATCTGGTTGGCCGCGGGCAGGATCTTGGCGGTGGGCACGATGGCTTTGAGATCGTCCGCGGTGAAGTTGCTCACGCCGACGTTCTTTGCGAGACCTTCTGTCTGGATCGCTTCGACCGCTGCCCAGAGCGAGGGGAGGGTGTCGCCCTCGACGAGTGGCCGCGGCGCGTGGATGAGGAACAAGTCCACTCTGCGATGCGCGCGTGCGTGAGACGGGGATCGAGCGTGGGAGGAAGACCAAATGCAAACGCACTGATCTACACCGAGCTTCTGCAAGCTCTCAACGACCGATTCCTTCACCTTCGCGGCGGCGGTCCCGGGCCTGAGTTTCGTGGTGATGAATACCTCCGAGCGGGCCTTCCCCGAGGCCTTGAGCCCCGCGGCGAGGGCCGCCTCGTTCTCGTACGCCTGCGCGCAATCGAGGTGCGTGAAGCCGGACTGGATGGCGAGCGTGACGCTCGCGGCGCAGTCTTTCTTGAACAGGGCGCCTGCGGAGGACAGAGCTTAGTGTCGATCATGGAGACAGGGAGGAGATTCGCGCAGTGCTAGGCTATTTAGACGTACTTCCCGTGCCGAAGCCAATCTTAGGGATCGCGTTGCCGTCTGCAAATGAGATAATCGCCATCGTACGCGTGTGTTGTGGAATTGGACAAGGAGTGGGGAAGGTGGGCGGTGATGGTCTGGAGATGCGATAGCAGGTGAAGTGGAGGTACTTATGTACCCACCTACTACTCAATCGCATGACTCATGACATTGTAATTATAGGTGCGTAAGTCAAGTATTCCTTGCCATAACGTGGTATTTTCATGTCAGTAGAGGACCGGCTGGTTGAAATTATGAGCCCCAACTGTCGGGTTCGAGTCACCAGTTGCAATCGTGTTGGGCTTTCCATGCCTGCGTCCGAATCTCGCATCGATAATCGAGTCTCGACGCCATCGGTTAGTGGCTGCGGAATGTCAATCAGTTCTTGATTTCCGAGGATGACACCGCAGGTCACCGATCACGTGCTTCAATACGTGCCCATACCAACAAACTCAAGTCTTTAGTTCTTAATCTCATTCGGGTGACACGTCCGCGATCGGGGGACGGGGGCTGTGCCTCGTCACCGTCGATTTGAGACTCCGCCCGCGCCAACTCGGGCTCCAGTGCCTCCTGGCGCCGCGTTGTCACGCTTCCACGTCACCCGTCGTTTGGCTGGTCGCGTCACCAGTCTGCGGGCGGCAATGCTGCTCTTTCGAGGAGCTGCCCCTACCCTATCGTCTCCCAATCCTGGAGGCGAGGCCACATCCCTTCAGTCGACTCCTGGAGGCGAGGCCACATCCCTTCAGTCAACTCGACACACCCGACATGAGCCAACTCCCAGGACGGCGGGTCCCTTTCCAACTCCCAGGATGGCGGGTCCCTTTCCACCGCCCCTTCAGCGCGGCTGCCCTTCCGCCACTCTTCCAGCACGACTGCCCCTTTCCCCCCCACCGCCCCTTCAGCGCCAGCGCCCCTCCAACGCGACCATCCTTTCACCATCCATGGGCTTCTACTCGGGGGCTCTTGAGGAGGCTGCAACGCATGATGTCCGGAGACCCGACCATGGGGCTTGACAAGCACGCGGCATGCCTTACTTAAGAGGCCCTCTACCCGACCTACTGCAGCAGAGAGTGGTGGACACGCAGGTGCGTTTCTTGAAGCTTCCTCCCGATAATCTGCTCATATGGCCTTCAGTGCTGGACGCTGCTCTGCAATGAACTCCAGCCATTTGCGAACGCTCCATCCATACAGCAAAGAGAAAATGATACGCTTGCGGCCGACTCACGTCATCGGTGGTGAGCTCAGGGCCCTTACATGCCCTGCGGCAACATCCCGCACATCGATGTACCGGGTGTGGATGGGAAAGGGCTCAAAGAAGAACGGCGGGTTGACTGTGTGCGGTGGCGTCAGCGACAGACCGCTTCCACAGCGATGATGCAAACGTCGCGTAGTCACCTCAACGTGTGGATGCTTCTCCGCCCATTCCCATTCCCAGAGCACCAGCTCAGAAAACCTCTTCGACCCCGCATACGTCGCCATTCCGCTTGCAATCGAGCTCGTGACCACCATCCGGTTTACCCCAGCTTTCTCACCTTGAACAACGATGTTCATGGTGCCCTCTTTGGCCAGCTGCGGTGCAATTCATTCGAATTCTTCAAACGATGCAAGGTGCAAGCCCTAAGCATCTCCGCTGGCTCGGCCTTGCCAGGTAGCGGTGAGGCCAGGTGCATGATGGCATTATGGCGTTGACGCCTGCCAGCTGGTCGGGGAACTGATCGTGGGCGATATTGGTGATCTTCACAATCTCGACGCGGTCGCCGTAATTGGCATACAGTCTTCAAAGTGTCTGCCTTCGCACTCCAAGCGCACTCCAAGCGACACTAGAGAATCATTTTGCTTGAAGACACACAACCAGGCGTGTGCTGCAGGCGAAGTGTAGTACAAGTAGTTTGAAGATATAGTATGTATTAACAAGTGCGAGTATTCTCAAGTATCGATATCAACAATATCACAGGGATCGTATCAAGACTTGTTATCCATGTTTGCTTGTTTCTGCCTCTTTGCAGGAGGACGCCTGGCTCCGATAGCTGCTGCCCTACGTTTGATGGGGGCTTGCTGATGGGCAGGTAGCTCGACTGGCTTGAAAGCTGGCTCGAGGGTTGTTGGTGGATTTGGCATTGTACTCGATGACGAAGATAGCGGTGCTGGCTGTGGCAATAGGGACGGCATGAGCGGCGAGGATGTCGAGGGCGGCGGAGACAAAGGAGGCAGCGGAGATGAAGGAGGTGGCAGAGACAAAGGTCGCAAAGATGAGCCGATAACCTACAAGGACAATGTGATTGGATATAGGTTCCGACAAAGAACGGAGATACACACCAATGAGCCTGGAGTCGGTTCTTCTGCTTGGAGCTGCTTGACTCTTGCAATCCGCATCTCCTTCACCTCTTCTGCTAGCGCAAACAATCCAATCGTCTTCGTGAATCCATTCTCATTCGTCCTCTTGCGCAACTCTTCCAGTTCCTGGACAACAGCAAGTGGAGAGATGTTCCGTCTGTCTACCTCTGCTGTGATCCAGTCTGGGATTTCTCGGAAGCGTTCCCATCGTTTGCGGGCAGTCTGTCGTACCTGATCCTGGTCGGAAAAGATGTGAATAGTACAACAGAGATACACTCACTGGCTTGCTGCCGACTGCGGGCCCTGCACGCCACTTCTCTCCGAATGTCTCCTCCACGAGTCTCAATGGCGGTTTCACACCTGTCTGCTGACCGCGGCTGTCCAACCTGGGTTCCCCGTCTGCAAAAACACTCCAAAGCTCAGAAACGCTGCTGTACTTGTCGAGCGTCTTCGCAGGAGCCCATACTGACCAGCAGTATCCTGGTTGCTTGATGGCGAGAAAGATTGCTGACCAAGTAGCCGCCTTTTGACCAATGATTGGCGGTGCAAACCCCAGAGCGTTGTTGCGTGCAAAGAATGCCTCGATTGGTGGCAACACGTAATCGACCTGTGTTATCGGTCGTGTGCATGAGGCATCTGCTGGCTGTGGACTTGCAAATGCGCGAACACTGTGGTCGTCAGTAAGCTCATATGTTCCCGTGACCTCGTCATTTGCATCTCGATGAAGGATAATTGGCGATGACATGCCAGTTGCAGCTGAGACTGCCACACTTGCTTCCACTACGGACTGATAATTAGAGACCATGAATTTGGTAATGGACCCAGACTCACATTGATGGTGGTAATGCGAAATAGAAAACCCTTTTGTCGGCGAGAAATGGGCAGTCCGACGATCAATCTTGCCCTCCAGTTGATCCAATCTGGCAACAATACTCGAATTTGATGAGAAAACATGGCTGAGAGAGCTGCGGATGGCATCATTCTGCACAGATGCAAGTGCCGTCGGATCTCCCGATTGTGCTTTTAGTGCAGAAAGCTGTTGCGGGTATTCGGTCTTCATCCAATTCCTGACATCTGTTGTGAAAGCAGGCAGATTGAATATTTGAGAATTTGGGCAGATCTGATACAGAGCGCCTGCACACTAGAAATGTTTGTGTCAGTCAATGGTGGCATCAGAGAAAGGAGTTTACTTGGAAAAGATATGGCCGTAATTTGATAATCATTGCCCAGTGATTCTCGGCGCCTTTCAAATTCTTCTTACCTATTAAAGCCGTGAGCATGGGTATGGAATAGCTCAAGATTTGGCTTTCCTTGCACCTGCGCAAGAAACTTCTCAGCCATTGGGCACACAAGCACAAGAAACTGGATTGGTACAACAATTCGTGTGTGAACTGGATCATAACTTTCGTCGCTTCTGAAACCCGCTTGGGCAAGGACAGCCTGTAAATGTTCAGCTGGACAGACACAAGGGAAAGTCCCTGCCCACATTCTTGGGAATGGCAGCCGCATACACATCTATGTATGTCTGGCCCCTTGACCATCCCATCTTCGAGGTCTCATTTGCATCAACGCTGTGCGAAAATGAGATAATCATTGCTTCATTTGAATGACACACGAACTTCATCTTGGCCTGGTCATACCCAAGTAAATGTCGCGCAAGATGTTGCTTGATGCGGGATTCAAAATTGGCGACATCAAAGGCCTTGGCATACAGCTTGTACAAGCTCTGTTGATTGAAAGGTGTGTCTGGCGAGGAGGGGCCATGTAGGAGGAAGATCTGATGGATTTAGTGAGCGGAAAGACACCAACAATTAACATACCTTCCGCCAGCTCGAGTTCTTTTCCCAATTGATATCCACAAGATCCAATAATGCTTTTGAGTCATAGAGCCAATGGAAGTAGATTGCAAAGGCCCCAAGTGGACATTTAGCTGGATTTCGATGCGCAACAAACACTGTATATGAGGGATTGACAGCCTAGCTTGCCTGTCAGCAAAGAAAGATGAACAAGAATGATGATACTTACTGTCTTCATGCCACGCTTACCCGCTTTCTCTTGGCTCTGAAGACCAAGCAGACAATATATCTGCTGTCTTACTTGGGTCGGATGAGCCATCTCATAGGGCTGGATCTCGCACAGTGCCAGGGAACGAATGTCGTCCCCCCGGTTACCGGTTGCGCTCTGTCCAGTCCAGGCCAGATGACCAAAGACTGCAAGGCGTTCTAGATCGATAATGAGTTTGACAAAAGAACAAAATTGTGACACTTACGGTGGCGATGCGCAAGGAAAGCCTGCCCAATCCTCTCTCGGTCAGCATCACTGACATTCTCTAGAATGGTGTTTGCAACAACATCGGGTGCATCCTCGCCAGATAGGTTGCCGCTAGAGAAGATGATAAGAGTGAAAACCATGGTCGGATACAAGGTCAACACAGACCTATATGAGTTCTTGATAGCATCGCTCATACGCTCTTTGATGGTGTCCCAGACTAATCCGGTTGTCGAAGGCCTTATACGAGCAAGCTTTGAATCTCGGGCATCTTGCTCTTTGCGTACTCGAAGTGCACCGAAGAAGAACTTCTTGAGTTGAGACTGAAGGAGTCAATACTGAGCCATAGGACTAAGTGGGAAAGTCAACTCACTGCGCCAAGCCTGGTGTCAGGTAAAGGAACTCCTCGACGTGAACGCTTTTCTCGCTCAGCATGGTACTTGATGAATTGCAGAAGGAAGTTCTCGTCAATAATGTTGTCTTTGATCTTGTTGGCGTTGAAAGCCCATGCTGAAAACTCCTACAACAGAAGATTAGTTGCAGAATGATACCATGAACATCGAGAACATACGTTCACAGCTTTGATGCAAGACTTCTGAGCAGCAATCCCGCCTTGTCTTCGACCGGCCTCGAAACGCTTGTTGGCTTCAACGCGAACAGCAACAACATGCTCCTTGTATGTACCATTCGTCTCTTCCTCTGACATGTCCCCTTCCTGGTCCTCCTCATCGCTCGCACCCTCATCCTGCCCTAAAAGCTCGGCGGCAGCAGCGGCATCTGCACAAAACTCGCGGAGCAGGACACGTTCGCTCTCCGGATCCTCGCCTGCACGAAATACAACAGGACTGTCATCCTCGTCTTCACCGAGTTGCGAATCCTGGGTTGCTGAATGCTCCTCTGATCTTGATGGACATGTAAATGGGACGGAAACGCTCAGTGGGATGCCACCGTGAAACTCTCCTCGATGTGGTAGAGGAGCCGGGTGCAAACGGCTTCCAGCTGGAGCTGATACGGTGAGGGATTTTGTTCCGCTTGTAAGGGCAGCTTCGAGGACGCGACTTTGAGTCATATCGTGGGTAGGCACCAGAGACTTTTGGGGTAGGCACCAGAGACTTTTGGGGTAGGCACCAGAGACTTTTGCTTGTTGGTAGTCGAAGGATGGGGAGAGGACGGAAAGCTACATGGATGCCAGCCTTTCACAGAGTGTAAAACGCATGGAGGGAGCGCAACGTACCTGTGATTCACAAGAATGTCATGGAGTCGTTTGAGATTCGCCTGCTTGGGCGCTTTCAGGCCCAGTTGCTGGCAGTACTCATGTAAAGGCTTCTTGCGTTTGTAATTGATAAAGCTGGAAATCAGTCAGTCGAAGGACAACAGAATAGAAATGCGCATTGACGCACAGTCTCTGGCGATACTCAGGTGCAGTCTCAACAATCCCGCCGTTCATATCCCTTGTAACACCAATTCCACCCCCCACATTTGCTGCAGTGCCGCTCGCATTGTGTGTTGGCAGTCGCGCGCTGTCGCCGTCGTCGTCGTTTGGGTCAGAAGATTGAGCGTGTGAAGTGTTCGTGACACAAGTCTTGACCCGGGGATGGCCGAGATCGCGAAGCGCGGGATCGATTAGATAGTCAGGTGTACCCGATATGATATCCATGTCAGTCGCACACACGCAGATGTGAGCAGAGTACTGAGCAGGGCGGAAATCATTGAACAGGGGCTTGTCTACCACTACAGTGGCTGTACCATATTGGACTGGGTAATCCAAACCTCAGGCAAGTCACCCGCGTCGGTGACATCACAGCGAAATGTCACCCGAATGGGTGACACAACCATTCGAGATTGGACAGATGTCTCCCTGTTATGTAAGGGTAGTGCTTACAACTTTACGGACTAGCCATAAAGAAATGCTCAGATAAACGACAAAGATGAAAGTAACTCACAGGGACATTCGTTTCTCGAATCCTCATTCAGGAATATGACCAATTCTGTGCAAAGCACCAGAAGGTCCACTCAATAATTGGTGGTCAAGCCGTGGTGGTCAAACTCGACGAATGATGCCAACAGTCAAGTGCTCGGAACAACACGCGTATCAGAAAGCTTTACGTGAAATCCTTAGGCACCGCTGAGAGAATGCTCCTCACGTTGCTCATACCGAGAGCTTCGCTCTACATGAGGCTAATCGGAAAAAAACGACCAGCTCACATCTAAAAGATGCTAGATTTCTGTATTTCAGGTAACCAAGCTGAAAAGATAGAGCAAGACAATTTCAGCCCTGAGAAGATATGTCCAGGTAACCATCACGGCTAACGGGAGGCATCATTCGTCGAGTTTGACCACCACGGCTTGACCACCAATTATTGAGTGGACCTAGAGAAACATAACGCTCAGAATCCTTGCTGATTACAAATGAAAACATAAGCATTCATCAAGAGCACTGAGAGAAGATATATGACGAGAAATTTATTACACAAATTACAAGTAACTACATGCCAACACCCGAAGAGAATCCATCAGACAAACGCTCGACTCGCAGGCTCGCTCTGAACAGTCCTTGCGGAAAGTTCAAAAGCGAACCAAAACGTCATCGAGGCCCTACGAGAAGGCCATGTTCTCAGTCGAACGAGCGAGCGCGAAAGTCATCGAGTGGATTTGAAGGATGCGGCATTTGTAAAAATGCGAGACTCGGTCAGTTTCTATAAAAAGATCCTGATGAGTATGTATCTGAAGAATCACCGATGATGGAAGCTGGGCTATATATGTTTTGCAGATGGTCCGTGCGTTTTCATGCACGTGAGGATGTCGATCACGCCCGGGTGTGATTGCCGGTGCTAGCAACTGCTGCTACTTTCGCTCATTCACAGAAGGCACCAGTCCATCTGGCTTTCCGCCACACTATCAAGGAGATCGAACTGGGCACCATGAGACATGGAAAGTTCGCTCGTGTCTCAATGCTGACGGACGAAGTCTTCCATCTTGTTCACCCAAACTCGCAAACTTTGAGTACACGAAATTGACATGGGCTTGCGATGCGTGAGAATTGTCAGATTTCCCTCAAACTGAACGCACTCGCTCATTCCAGCGCAGGCGCGTTCGACATGTACCCAATCGCCGCCTCTACGATCTGCTCGACCACGCCCATCTCCTCTTCGTTCCTCGGCGCATACACGAAGGTCCACTCGTTCGGCGGACCGGGCACGCCGGGTCCCGCGAGGGGATGGCGCTGCCCCCAGCCCTTGCCGACCACCTCCCTCCCATCCGCCGCCGCGAGCGCGAGGTGCAGCGTGAAGTCGTGGTAGTCGTGCATGTGCGCGATCTCGCCCTTGGTCCGCCGCACCGTCTCGCTCGCGGGGAGGCCCTCGGGCAGCGGCACGTCCGCGTTCAGGAAGATCGCGGCCGCGTGGAACTCGAACGTCGAGCGCGCGATGTGCGTATTGGCTGCGTGCCGCGCCTGGACGCGCGGGATGACGGTGTCTTTGAGGCACGCGGCGCCGAATGCGGGGTCCGTGTGCTGGCTGAGCTGTGGGTGGGTGGGTGGGTCAGATGGGGAAGACGTTTTCTGTATCTGTGGTGGGCCACACCTGCCGCTGGATGATGTGGCTGGTGGTTTTGGGGCGGGGGCCCTCGCGCTGAGCGAGATCCGCGAGCCAGCGACGTTTCTCGGGCATGCGGTCGTAGATCTCGAGCCCGAGCTGCTCTTGGCGGAAGAGCGCGAGCACGAGCACGATGATGTATCCTCGAACGTTCTGGGGCGCATAGGACGGGCCGCCCTTCAGGAATGTCTCGTAGTCTTTCTTGACGAAGGGGAACGCTACTGCCGCTGCCACGAGGGCACCCAGCACGAGAGTCTGAATCCAAGTGAGCTGATAAGCCATGAAACTATGTGTGCATGCTCTCATTCCCCAGTCCCTTAAAAGGTTGTAGACCCGGGTGTAATTCGGCCTAACACGGTCAGAGCCGTAAATTGGGATCTGCGTCAAACCCTTTTGGGACTTCAGATTCGATCATGTTCTCCATTTCCGTTGTAGCAAGGGAGCATTCTTTAGGGACCCGTGCTCTCTCGATATCCATCATTCCAACATGAACGCCCCCGATAACGTTCTCGATATTATTGTTGTCGGTGCTGGCCTGGTTGGTTTCGCGGCCACAGCTGCTCTACGCCGACAAGGTCATCGTGTGACCGTATGTCCTGCAGGATGTTGCCTCTATCTCCTATGACTTATCAGATCTACTAGATCTATGAGACTTCCAGCTTCAAGAACGAGTTAGGAGCTGGCCTGGCTATTCCACCCAACACTGTCCGTGGTCTGATTGGCTTGGGATGTGTGATTGAGAACCTGGACCCGGTGGAGAATCTCTGTGTTTGTACGATGCCAGCTGCTGTTCGTGCTGCTGATATTCTGGTAGTTCACAGCCGTCGCTTTTGACGGAAGTGCTGGTATGCGCAGTGACCAGACCAACTACGAAGCAAGCTACGGCCTTGTCAGTGGATGTCTGCTTCATCATTGGCTTCGGTTGCACTGAATACCACACCACATGCAGCCCTGGATCATGGTGCACCGCGTCGATTTGCACAATGAGCTTCGTCGGGTTGCTCTCAGTGCGGAGGGGAACATTGGTCCCCCAGCCGACCTGCGCCTGGATCACCGAGTCAGCTCGTGCGATGTCGAGGAATGCACCGTGACGCTGAGTAACGGGGATACCCACCGCGCAGATCTGATCATTGGGGCAGACGGGATCCATGTGAGCGAAACAAAGGTTTTTGTGGATCGCTGCTCAGACATACAGTATGGCAGTCTACAATCCGATCCTTCGTCGTAGGCGAGGAAATCGTCATCCCGCCCTCCAAGACGGCCGGTTTCCGCTGGCTCACAGAGAGCACTGCGTTGGAGCCTTACCCAGAATTGGACTGGATTGTGAAGATCCCACCACTCGGCGCACGGCTGATCTCTGCGCCAATGAACCCTGCGCCACCACAAGTCGACCACCGGACGATCATCATCTATGCCTGTCGTGGAAGTACACTGATAAATGTACTCGGAGTCCACGAGGATCTCCGCGATCAAGATACAGTCCGTGAGTCGCAGCTTTATTCGGGCCCGGAGACTCGTCGCTGGACACCATGATCATGCTGATGTGTCCTGCAGCCTGGAATGCACCCGTAACCCAATCGGAGCTGCTCCAGTTCTTTGGCGACTACCATCCGCGGTTCAAACGGTTGTTGGAGCTCGCGAATGATGTGCATGTGTGGCAGATGCGAGTAGTGCCCCGCTTGAAGACCTGGGTCAATCGTCGGGTGTGCATTATGGGCGATGCTGCGCATGCATCACTCCCCAGTGTGTCATTCATTTGGCATGTGCTTACCGTATGGACGTGCTTATGTCGTTCGCAGCGCTGGGTCAAGGTTTCGGAATGGGGCTCGAGGATGCAGTCGCTCTTGGAACACTCCTTCCGCTTGGGACAACTCCCGAAGAGATCCCGGACCGTCTCACCCTCTGGCAGGATCTCGTCAAACCTCGGGCTGAGTTTGTCGCGACTGAATCCTACGAACAGCAGCATATTCCTGCGAAACGGGGACTCTATCTTCGCTGTAAGCAGATAGACACATTTGATCGGTGCCGACCCTGTGGCTGACTTGTCTTGTCTTTCTTAGCGCAGGAGATGCGCGACTGGGTCATGGGATATGATGTCCAGGCTGAGGCACAGAAGGTCTTGGCGGGAGCTGTGAATAGATCCAAGGGATAAATCCATTCGACACGTGATTTGATTTGTGAATTAGTATGCCTCCAGAGAATGTATCAGGCCTCTCTCATTTGTCTCCTACTTTCATCGCCAGACAATGGGAGCCGTCGGTAAACTCCACTAGAGAGTTCCACCCATCTGCTCATGATTAGCTGCCAGTGCATGAAAAGGGAGAATGAAGATCGCTGCCTAGGTGGCTACAACCCGGGTTTTCGTCTCGCATGTGCGATGTTCAATGAACATAGTCTAACCGATTTTCGGTTAAATGTCTACAGATATGTCATTTCTGATGTTGGCAGTGGTCTTGTCAAGTCACCCAAGCTCCGGTGAATCAGTATCCTACATATAGAATCCAAGTTGCCGGTGTGCAGATACTGCACCTAGCTTTGCGAGACGCCATGATTTGCATCGGTCCCTTACAGTACTCTATATCCGTTCATATGAGACACACATAGATATACTTAGTGTGTGGCAGTCCCTTCCATTTTGATCCCCTGCTAACACTTGGTCAGTTTGTGGAAGCTTTGATAAACAAGAGGAAGAAGAGGCATGAAACAGCATTCAGTTGCCGGCGCGGAACTTCCCGCTGGCGATGATTTGCACTGTTCGCCCAATGAATTTAGATTCATTCACACTACAGATACATTGAACTGCAGCAACTCCCATTTGAATCCTGTAATGATGATATCTACATAGTTTCAGGAAATTTTTAATGAACGGCAAGAAGCAGACGCATTGTTTCATGCTTTTTTGACCGACGCTGGAGCGCTGCGACGACGGACGCCGATCCGACACTCTGTCACACGTCTGACAAACCAATCCTCCGTCTTGAGCTATCCATAGACGTATTAGCACCCGAGCATAGCATGGCACGACTCGCACAATCACCTCAGAACGCGGATCCTCCAAAACGACTTCGAATTTGGTAAAGACAGCAGCGATCATCACCCGCAGCTGCAACAGCGCCAGAGTCTTGCCAATGCATCCGCTAGATTGACCCAATTTAGCCGCAGCATAGGGAGAATGCTCTGTGGAACTCACGCGGGACCATCCGAGAACGGTTTGAATGCGTCGGAATATTTGGCGGTGGTATCCTCAGCCTCCAGCCACCGATCGGGACGAAATTCGCTTGCATCCGAGCCCCAAATGCCGTGATCCCGGTGGATAGTGTAGATGGGCACCCCAACCGTCGTGCCGGCAGCGATAAACTCTCCGCAGACCGTAAGACCAGGCTCGGTCACAGTACGTGGCAGGCCGATCCCGACGGGGGAGTGCATCCGAAGAGTTTCGTTGAGCACAGCGCCAAGGAATGGAAGGTCCTCCACGTCCAGCGAGTCGTACTCGGGTCCAAGTCGCGCATCAAGTTCTTCATGCAGTTGACGTTGGAGATTGGGGTGTTGCGCCAGGTAGTAGATGGCTGCAATGAGAGTGCTGTCGTGTCTTGGGGTCAGTGAACCGAAACGATTCAGTGACAGACACGTACTTCCGAGATGTGTCAGAACCGGCCACGACGATGGTAATCAGTTCAGCGATAAGGGTTTCCGCGCGGAAAGTCTCTTTCTGCAAAGAAATGTAGGTCAATGAAACGTCAGGCCTCGGGCTGGCAACGGACCTGGGACTGTGTCCGTTTCAGGAACCGGCCCACGAGGTCAGTCGGCTCCTCCGGATCCGAGATGGCTGCTCCCAGTCGGGCGTAGACTTTCTGGGCGACGAAACCCGAGAACACCAGCGAAGAGCGCACTTGTTTCCACAGCACCTTGCGAGCGAACGACTTGAGCCACGCGGGAGCGAGGCCCGCGAGGTAGTTGTAAGCCTCGCGCTCGGTCACGAGATCCGTCAGGGACGCATTTTCGGCCTGCGACTCTTTGCTCGAGGCAGTCTGGGTGTTGTACAGCGCGGCACGCCAATCGGCGGAGACCTTCACGTCGTCCGATGACGAGCTGACCATGCCGAACGCGTCGCCGAAGACAAACGACGAGACCTGATCGAATGAGAGCAGTGTGACCCCTGTAACTGAATGAATTTGGATCCCTGGCGATGATCGAGAGAACTGACAAGGAACGCAATCAAACCAGGTATATTCCGCGTCATTTGACGTATAACGCGTCTCCCATTGTCCAAGGAGGGTGTTCATCAGCTCGGCGGTCTTGGGTGCGAATTCGCGTGAGACTTGCGCCGTGAAGAGAGGGTGGAGTAGTCTGCGCTTCTGGCCGTGCTCGGACTTGGACTGCGATGTGAAGACGTTCGTGAGCCCGATGGTCGCGAAGGCCTGATAGAAGGAAGACTTGGGGAGCCGAGTGTTGAACGAATGGACGATCGCATAGGCGGCGGGATCGCTGAAGGACAGTTCGTGCGGCGAGACGCGGACGATAGGCCCTGCGCGGTGTGAGCGTCACGGACGAGCAGTCTGGAGCAAACGGGATACCATATCGCTTGTGCATCTCATGGATGATAGTCGCTCGCCGGCGGGTGAGACCCACACACAAGACCCACGCGTACGAGAACTTGGCGAGAAACGGCCCCGGAAACCTGCGCAGTCCGTACGGGTCGCGGAAGTACGTGACGAGCGGGTAGACGGCGCCGGCGCTGAGGAGGATGGCGAGAATGCCGCCCATGGTGATTGGGTCCATGGTGTGTGCAAGGAGAAAAAGATTGGAAGCTGATTAAAAAGGGGCCGCCCGCGGACTGAATTCGGTTGAGGGAATGAAACGCATTTCCGCCTCCCAACCCGAGATTCATCGAGCGAGTCAGATAACTAGCGACCCAAATGGGTCGAGCTGATAGCTTGTAGAACACCCATTGGTGTGTCAGTCGGTGGCAGAATAGCTCGGCCGCAGAAGCAGCGCGATATGTGCATAGGTACTAGGCGGCGTGGCACCACTTCCTTCCGAAGCTAAGGTTTATTTCATCCAGTGGTGCGAACGATGAATAGAAAAAGCGGGGCCCGCGGAAGGGACAACGAAAGCAGTCCTAGAAGGGAAGAAATGTGGAGGCCTCAGATCGCGTCCAGATCGGTTGTCGCTGTAAACGGCAAGAGCCTACTGCCGTCCTTCATCAATCCGTCACCACAGCCACTGGCCTTGGTCGGCCGGTACCAGTGGATCTCCAGATTGCATTGGGCGCTGGGCAGCATCTACGAGCCTATTAAAACCATGGCAGAACAACGACATGCATCCCAGATATGTCTGCCTCTTCTCTCTATCTTAAACTGGACTCTCCGGCTTCGCTGCTTGACGTGTTCGTCAACGCCGCGCGAGACCCACACACCGCAGCGCGGCGCGTGCTGGAGTGCGGCGCGGACATTTGGACATACGCGGCCTTGGACGCGGTGTCCGATGGCATAGCGAGGGAGCTCGCGCCCTTCGGTCTGGCGCCCAAGGTCGCTGTCGTCAGCGAGAACCACCCATTTGTGTTCGCGCTGCTATTCGCAGTCTGGAAGCTCGGGGGAACGTTCATCCCCATCGACGCGCATGTCCCCTTTGCCATGCTCACGGGGATGATGAACATTGTGAAGCCGACGTGTCTCTACCTCCCCGCCTCCGCCACATCCAACATATCTCTCGCGAAGGGTGAGCGGTGGTGTTGGACCTTTGCGCGAGCGACCGATGCTGATGTGCCCTGGTGCAGCCTTCGACACACGTATCGTGGTCTTTGGGCACAAGGAGAATTCCATGCAAGCTTTGTTCGACAAGTACTCACTGCATGCGGCGCCGTTGCACGCGGCACCATTGCACTACGCGCCTCCCAGTGCCGACCATGCGTGTCTGTATCTCTTCACATCGTCAGCGTCCTCGACCAAAAACCTCAAGGTGGGTCTTTGTCTTCCTTGCAGTATCAGGGCTGATACATCCAAGGCGGTCCCGCTGACGCACACACTCGTCCTGCGGGGGTGTCAATCCAAACTCGCTTGGTGGCGCCGAGTGCAACCCGGAAAGAATCTCGACGCTATCCGGATCCTCGGCTGGGCACCCTGGTCTCACGTTCTCGCCTATATGCAGGCGCGTCCCCTCGTTCTTCATGATTTCAGCACTGTTGCTGATAGCCGGGTAGGATATCGGGACAGCGACACTGCTCAACGCGGGCTGCTATGTCTTTGCGACCATCCCTTCATCCTACCCGCAGCTTCCTACCACCACCCCCGTCGATCTGACGACTTCGATCATCGACGCGCTCGTCACGCGGCGCGTCGCGGCGTTCGCCTGCGTCCCATTTGTCCTGGCGAACCTCAAAGCCGCGTGCCAGAGCAGCCACCCCGCGCGCGCACTACTACTCGAGGCGCTGCAGAAGACGATCATGCTCGAGTGCGGCGGGGCGGCACTGGACGACGCGACGGTCGACTGGGCCGAGCGCAACGACATCCGCATCTTCACGGGAATCGGGATGACCGAGACTGGCGGGGCCGTGTTTGTCGGCCTCGCGAGCGAATCTAGACGCGGGTTTCTACCGGAAGGCCTACTCGGTGATGCGTCCTTCTCGATCTCGAGTGACACGGACGTTCCCGGTGGGTTTTTACACGCACGTTTGTCCCTCATTGCTGAACCTTGCTCGCTAGACGAGGGCGAACTTGTCGTGAAAAGTAAACTCATCGCGCCCGGATATGTCGGTTACGACGACGGAGCGCATTCCGTGGATAGTGATGGCTGGGTCACATTCAGAACGGGAGACCGATATCGCCAGACCCAGCCGGACGGGCGCTTTACGTGGCTAGGAAGGATCACAGACTTCATTCAGGTCTGGTTCCAGCGTCCGGTTCTGGCTTTTGCGCGGACTGACCAACCCGATTCTAGATGGTCAGCGGCGAGTACCTTGATCCTCGGCCCCTCGAGGAGAGTCTGCGCGCGTCCCCGCTGATCGCCAACGCCTGCATCGTCGGCGATGCGTTCCTCAGCAGCGCATCGACAAGCATCCTCGCCATCATCGAGCTCGCCGCCCCGGATCTGGCGCACACGGCCTCCATCCGCGCGCAGCTCGCGCGCGTCCTCGCGCCCCTCAACCGCGATCTGCCTCCGCCGCTTCGGATCGCAGCGTCTTCGATCCTGGTTCTGGACGGGATGCGGAAGATTCCGAAGACGAAGAAGGGCGACATCTTCCGCAAAAAACTGGAAGACACGTTCGGTGCGGAGTTTGAGCAGATGCTGCGGCCCGAGAAAGTCGGGCTGGGTGACTTGGCGGATGGTAGGATGCACCTCGCGTCTTGTCGCTGTATGCAGAATCTGAGGCTGACTGACTGGGGATCAACAGTGGACGCCGCTGTAGCTCGTATCGTCGGCAACTTGCTCGGCATTTCCGACGAGGAGCTTCTGTCGACGCTGTCGTTTGCTGAGGTGAGAGGGCCCTCGATTCTCCCTCGCTTACGGCTTCCCATGACATGATAATGACGGCACGATCCAGCTCGGGATGACCTCGCTTCTCGCCGTCAAGATCGCGAGCGAACTAAACAAGTTTCTGGACGGCCGGGCTGTGCTGCCCACGAACATCTGTTACATACACTTTGACGTGCCCTCGCTCACGAGTAGCGTCCGAGAAAGGCTATCCTCCGCGCCCTCCTCGATCACATCCGCCGCCAGCGACCCCGCGGCTTCGTCCCCCGGCACCCCCCGCACCGACGAAATCGTGATCGTGGGCAAGGCCTTCCGGCTGCCGGACGGCGTGAACGATGACGCCGCGCTGTGGGATGTCCTCACGGGCGAGTCCGCGTCGATCATCAAGGACATCCCCGCCGATCGCTGGGACCACGCGAGCTTCTACCCGAAGGACATCCACTTCGGCAGGGCCGGCCTGGTGGACGTCGCGCGGTTCGACTACGGCTTTTTCGGCATGACGGCGAGCGAGGCGTATTCGCTGTCGCCGACGATGCGTCTGGCGCTCGAAGTCGCGTATGAGGCGCTGGAGGACGCGAACATTCCGTTCCGCGCTGTCAAGGGCTCGCGCATGGGTGTGTTCGTCGCTGTGAAAGACGATGGATTCGAGACTTTGCTGCATGCGGGGCAGGGCTATGACGGTGCGGTTTATGCGGACCCTTGGTTTTTGCGTCTCAGGCTCAATGGCTCCCAGCTTACACGCGCTTCTATGGGACTGGAAGGGCGCCGAGTACCGCCAGCGGCCGCATCAATTAGTCTGCATCTCATCTTATCAATCAATGTAATCTTATCTGACGTGCCTCAGTCTGCTAGATCTCCACGGGCCGTCGATCACCGTCGACACGGCCTGCAGCGGCGGCATCGTCTGCATCCACCAGGGTCCGTGGCTCGCTATTCTTTATGTCTGTAAACTCAATCTCGCGCAGCTGTCACCTATCTTCAATCGGGCGCCGCAGAGACGGCGATCGTGTGCTCGAGCAACACACACTGCTGGCCCGGATCCTTCATGTGACTCACCCTGCTTGCCTCGCCTCCAGTACTTTTCCCAATCCTCACAACAGGTTCCTGACCGCGCAAGGCATGGCCTCCCCCAACGGCCGGTGCGCATCCTTCACATCAGATGCCGACGGGTGAGTCCGGCCACTGTCCCCAGCCGATATCCGCGGCGGCCACTCATGTGTGACACGCAGATACGCGCCGTCGGAGGGCGCGGTGGGCTTCGTGCTGAAGACGCGGTCGGCCGCTGTGCGCGACGGCGATCGGATACTGGCTACGATCAGGGCGACGGAGATCGGGCATAATGGACGCTCCCAGGGACTCGCTGCGCCGAATGTCAGGTCCCAGGCGGCTGCTCATCGGGCGGTGCTGCGGAGAGCGAGGCTGGACCCGTCCGAGATTGAGTGAGTGGCGAGATGGGCGAGGGCTTGACATTTACTAAAGTTCTACCAGCTTCATCGAAGCGCATGGGACCGGTAAAGCTAGATCGTCGTCTTCATCTCAGCAAAGCTCACGAGTACCCAGGCACCACATTGGGCGATCTGTGCGAAGTGCAGGGCATCAACGACAGCTTTGTCTCGTCCAAGAAACGTGCCAACCCTCTTGTGGTCAGCGCGTCCAAGAGCACCATCGGCCACACCGAGCCGTCTGCGGGTCTCGTCGGGATCCTCTCCGCGCTGATGTCGTTCGAGAGGCGCATCGTGCCGAGACTGGCATATCTGACTGAGGATAATGTGAACCCGGCGCTCGACGCGAGTGTCGTTCCGCTGCACTTTCCCACAAAGCACATCGAGCTGCGCGCTGATGTGCCATGCAAGGCCGTCGTGATGTATGTGGGATCTCAGAGAGTGCCATATCACACACTGACGCACAAGTGCACAGGTCGTACGGATTCGCAGGTACCCTAGCCGACATTGTCCTCGAGAGCGAGGTACCCCAACCTACGCCTGCGGTCGCTCAGGACACGGCCGGCCAGCAGCCGATGCTCTTCGTCCTCAGCGCCAAAACCCCGCGCGCGCTCGCCGCCTACATCGAGCTCTACCTGGCCTTCCTGCGGCACGCCGACCCGGCCCTCTTCCCGCGCATCTGCTACACGGCGTGCGTCGCACGCGAGCACTACAAGCACCGCGTCGCGTGCGTCGCAGCCGATATCGTCGACCTCATCGCGCAGCTCGAGACGCGCCTCGCGCAGGCGGGTGGCGGCGCTGCCGGTGGTGCTGGCGGATCGCGGCCGGCGCGCACCGGGCCGCTGGTGTTTGCGTTTTCGGGGCAGGGCACGCAGTTCCCGGCGATGGCGGCGCAGCTGGCGCGGGGGTATGCGCGGTTTGGGGAGCTCGTCGGGGGCTGTGCGCGCATGGCGCGCGAGCTGAGCGGGTTCCCTGTCGATGTCATTCTCCTCGGACATGACGAGATGCCGCCGGTGAAGGAGGAGGGTGCTGCGGGGGAGGTGCACAGCGAGGTGGATCAGATCTGCATATTTGTTTACCAGTATGCGATGTGTCGGTGGCTGGCCGAGCTGGGTGTGGAGCCGAAGGCGGTCGTTGGGCACAGTCTGGGCGAGATCACGGCTGCAGGTGTGCTTTCAATCAGTGTCCGGCGTCATTGGGCCCAACGACTGAACCGAATTCCCAGCTATCGCGGGAGCACTCCCGTTCGAAACGGCGCTCCATTTGGTCGTAACGCGCGCCAGGCTTCTGAAACCATACGCCTCCCAACCGAGCGGCATGGCGGCACTCGCCTGCACCCCTGCCGTCGCATCGAAGCTCACACTCGGCGCGTCGGTGTCGGTGTCGGTCTACAACGGCCCGCAGAGCATCTGTCTGTCCGGCGCGTCGGCCGAGCTCGACGATGCCGTGCGGGCCGCGAAGGCGCGGAACATCAAGGCGACGCGGCTGCAGGTCGACCAGGGCTTCCACTCGCCGTGCGTCGACGCCGCGGTCCCCGGGCTGCGGGCGTGGTGCGCGGCCAACCGCGCGTCGTTTGCGCCGCTGAAGATGCCGCTGTACTCGACCGTGCGCGGGGACGTGCTGCCCAAAGGCGAGACACTGGATCCGGAGCATTGGGTATGTGTCTGCGCTCCAGACGTTCCGTGTATAGATAGAACTGATGGGAGGTGATTTGGCAGGTGGCGCACGCGCGGAACCCGGTGCTGTTCGCGCAGACGGCGGCGAGGATGCAGCAGGACGCGGCGGGCATCCGGGCCGTCGTGGATATCGGCCCGCAGGCGGTGGCGTGGTCGCTGCTTTTGCTGAACGGGCTCAGTGCGACGCGGACGCTTGCTGTCGGCGCGAAGAAGGGCGGGGACCAGGAGCACGCGCTGCTGGGGGCGCTGGGGGCGCTGTTCGAGCAGCACAAGGTCACGCCGGACTTCGCCCGGCTGTACGCCCAGCGCCCGGGTGCGGCGACGCTCGAGAAGACGCGGATTCCGACGTACCCCTTTGAGCGCACGCGCTGTTACCCGACGTTCATACCCTCTCGCTTCGCGCACGGCGCTGCGCCTGCTGCGAAGACAAATGGCGAGATCCTGCCGGCCGAAGAAGAAGAAAATACGGATCCCGCGGCCGAGGCTGTGGGATCGCTGACGAAGGAGGACTTGCGTGCGGCCCTGGTCGCGTGTCTCAGAGCGACGCTCGAGCTGCGACCTGACGAAGAGCTCGGTGCGCGCCCCTTTTAGTTCCTCTGCCTCTTTCTGTACAACTGACATCGGGACACAGACGAATCCGAGCCGCTGACCGTGCACGGCGTGGACTCGATCGGGTTCGCGAAGCTGCGCAAGCAGGTCGAGGACCGCTGGGGGCTGGACATCCCCGTCGTGTATTGGTCGGATGCGTTCAGCGTCGGCGAGATGCTCAGCAACTTGGTCGATCAGTATGACGTAGTGTCTACTGCTGCGTGAAAGGATGGATAGGACAGCCATCTGTTGGTGCGAAGATATATGACATATCGTGCCCGGCCCGTGTGGGATAATGAAATAGACGTTTTTTATGGAACTTGATGTATGTATGTAGTCAGACAATTGGCTATGAATCTGTCTCTGCGACGGGTGGCACAAATCCAGCGAGAGTCGCGCTTCTGTTTCTGTCGCAGGGCACGATTGTGATCCCGCAGTTGACGGCTGGGCAACAGGAAATGTCATCCACATCCGACAGTGGAAACCGCGGACGGATGGATGTTGGCGCCATGTGTTGGACACAGAGGTGCCCCCAGCTTTGAATAACATAGAACCTCGAGTTTTATCGATATCGCATGACATGAGGCCAGAATCAGTCGACTCTGACACGCGGCTGCCTTCGAATGCCATAAAGTCGACTTTACCATGGTTGCCTATTCCTGGTGAGGCCGGGGTCAGGGGGGCAACGTACATACGAGACCACTGCACTTGCATCCACCTCCATACAATGGCGCGATATGATTGGCTGACGACAGCCGCGAGCACGTGACGGCATGGGCTGTTGTGCAATGATGCAGCTCTTTTTTGCACAGCCGCGGTCACCGGATTTGGCCGACACGCTGTTCCCCGCCGCCACAGCGGCCAGCTCGAAATAAATGTCGGAGTTGAAGTCCGTGGAGTGGGGTTCGTAAGTTCGTATCTGTTCATATTGCGCTCACATGAAGCGAAACATAATACTAGCCGTGTGATGCGGCAGCGCGTGATGGGTAACATCGCCGTCGCCTAGCGACCGTGTCGCCAGACTCGCCACCTCTCCTCGTCTGCTGGCCAATAGGATGCAGCGGGCCCGATCGAACCTCCATCCAAACTTCAAAGTTCAAGCCGGGCGACATTGATTGCCGGGCGACCCCGGAGGGCGTTTCGCAGGCCGTTCTGGACGCTGGCGAGGCGCGGGGGAGTGCGTCGCAGCACTGGCGGGAACCTCCACCCATCTCGGACTGGCCACCGCCACCCCCGGACCCGTGTCTGTGTGCTCCGTGTGGTACCCCAGCGGTGCACAGGACGGAGAACCTGAGAAGAAGATGGAGATAACGGTCACTATGGAACAACATCGCTTCCGATCCCCCTTGATCTCATTTGTCCGCCAAGGGAAGGTCTCGCGCATGAGAAGCGTCTACCTGATCGCGCACATAAAAGGCGCGGAGGGTCTGCGGGGAGAGTCAGGTTTCCCTCCTCGCCCACTTTCAGTTTCATTCCTTGCACGCAACAGGACAGGTTCCTACCTTCAATCCTTTCATCAGATCCTTCTTGCTTCAAGTCTTCCCTCGCTCCCCATCCCCCACTCGTATTCTTCAGCCCAGAAACCAAGATGTTCGCCGGCAAATCGATGATGTTCTCCGTCTCGCTGGTGCTTGCGCTGGTCTCCCAGGTGTCCGCGCACGCCGCGCCCACGTCAGTCCCCGAGTCCAAGCGCCTCCTCCGTCCGTAGCTGACCAAGCTGCACAGCCCCCTGCTCGGCGTCTCCGGCGCGCCCGCGCGCAGTGACGCGCAGCGCCCGTCGACTGCGTCGCCGTGCGGCAAGACCAACGTCGCCGCGACCCTCGACACCTCCACTGCCGTCGCCGCCGCCGCGGACGGCACCGTCGCGTTCTCGATCACCAACTTCAACGCGTAAGGGGCTTCGTGGATCTATGTGATATGCACACGCGCTGACGCGCTTTTTTTTTTGGATAGTGGGAAGGACGGCGCCACGGCGTTCACGGCCCAGGTCGACCCCACCGGCAAGGGCACGGCGTTCGTCGCTGCCACCGTGAGCAAGGACGGCAACCCCGTGCGTAGATACCGGGCCTACGCCCCGCCCGATGGGTTATATCTCATGCTGACGCTGCCGCGCAGGCCCCGACGACGACGGAGACCGACGCGGTCGCGATCCAGCTCCCCGCCGGCACCAAGTGCACTGGTGGCGCGGCTGGTAACCTCTGCCTCGTCGTAAGTCTCCCCCTGTGTCTATCTTGGTAATTGATCTAACAACACCTGCGATAGTCGGTCAAGACGCTCGGTGGCTTCGGTGGATGTGTCGCTGTGTCCCAGGGTGCTGCTGCCGCCGGTGGAGCTGCCGCTGCTGCCGCCGCCCCCGCTGCTGCGGGTGCCGCTGGTGCCAGTGGTGCCGCTGTTGCTGCGGGTGCTGCTGCCGCTGCTGCTGGTAATGCCGCCGCCGCTGGAACCGCCGCCGCTGGAACTGCCGCCGCCGGAACTGCCGCCGCCGGAACCGCCGCTACCGGAAACGCTGCCGCTGCTGCCAAGGCCGCCAAGAAAGCAAAGGGCAAAGGTGCGTTCCCCAGATCCCCTGGCTAGACACGCAGGCACTGACGACGCGCCGCAGCTGCCAAAGCCGCTAAGGGTGCCAAGGCCGCGAAGCCCGCCAAGGCTGCGAAACCCGCCAAGGCCGCGAAGGCTGCCAAGGCCGCGAAGGTGCCCGCGAACAAGGCCGTCGGCACCCGCGCTGCCCGCGCCCTCCGCCGCGACCTCGTTGAGGCCATGATGGACCGCCGCGGCGCGTCGCTCGACTAGACGACTAGCTCGTTTTGTCCTTGTGTGTTGGGGTGTCTATCTACGTATGAGTATCCGGAGCTTGTAGCATGAGTACACATTGACAGGTCTTGGTGTATTTGCGTCGTTTGTGCAATCTAGGAATGGAACGAACAAGTGTGATCGTGTCTTCGTTCACAATTTGAGAAAGAGAGAATGCGTAGAATGTCTGTCCTCGCTGGCCGGCGGAAGACAAGAGAAAGTCTCCTAAATTAAGAGTCAGATATGGAACGGTTGTTGATGTTCACAATTTCAGGCGGGAGGGGAGGACTCGTAGAATGCCTGTCCTCGCTGGCTGGTAGAAGACAAGAGAAATTGTCCTCAAGAAAGTTATCAGGGACAGAAATTAAGAATCAGATACGGAACGGTGTATATACGCTACAGACATGCTGTGTAATTACAAAGTGGTCAGTCCAGAAAAAGTGATATGCACAACTACAGTAGATCCCCGCCTTCAACCAGCCGCCGCACCTCCTCGACGCACGTGCACAGCTTCCCATACACCTCGCGCGAGTTCTCGAGCAGAGGCTTGATGTTCTCCGGCGTCAGAGACAGCTTGCCGCCCGGCGGCGGCGCATTATCCGGTGGTATCGACCGCACAGTCGCGGCGCTGTGCTTCGGCTGCCGGCCCGGATCCTCGGTCACGTCCGGCAGTCTCGCGCCGCCGCGCGTGCCAGCCACGAAGGATATGTGCGAGCTGCCAGGGGGCATGCCGTACGGCGATCGGGCGCGCACGGTCGTCAACTCCGGAGGCTCGGCATCCGACGAGATCCGGTCCCAGTCTTCTTCCTCGTCCTCCGGTGCGGGAGCAGCCACCGGCGGCGTCTTGTTCCTCCCGAGCCGGAAAATCGAGGCCAAAGAGGGTCTCCGGGGTTCCGCTGCGGCGCTGCCCGGCGGTTTGCCGTGTCCGAGGGCATCGAACGGCGAGGCTCTGCCAGACGAAAGCGACAGCGTCGACGCTGACTCGGGACCGACGCTCGTTTTCGCGCGTCGTCGACCGGGAATTGAAGCCGTCGACTCACTCGTTGAAGACGACGACCCGTTTCCCTTGGCGAGACTCTTGAGCAGATCGCGGAAGCCGCTCATCCGCATCTTGCTGCTCATCCGCCTCCTCTTCTTCTGCTTCGTCCCTCCATTCTGGAACACCTCCACACTCTCCTCCGACGGCAGCGTCAGCGTGCTGCCCATCGCGTCTGCGCCCCACCGCCAGTCCCGATTTACCACCGTCCCCCCTGTTTCGGTCATTCCGTCGTCCGTCGCGAACGAGTCATCCGCCGCCGACGAGCTCAGCATCTCCTTGAGCAGCACAAGCTGCCGCGAGCTTAGATCGGAGCTCGAGTTGCGTCCGGTCGTCGACGCCCGCCAGGCCAGACTCGGGGCACTGGTCATCGGCAGACTCGACGAGCTTGGGATCGGGGCCTTGGCGTCTTCCGAAAGCGTGATCGCTCGCGCACGTAACTTAGTCGGTGCAGGTGACGATGACGAGGACGCGGACGACACCGCCACTGTTGGCGCAGAAACACTGCTTGTCGGCCCGACACCGCTCAAATCAATCAACAGTTCGGCGCATTCCCACGATACGCGGTACCGCTCCTTGATCGTGTCAAACGCGTCGGCAAGGGCTTTCCAGCGGCCCTCGGGAGTCGGGAGCGAAACCGACGTATTGGAGCGATGCCGTTTGAAAAATGAGGTTCCTGACGATTGAGGTGGGGGAGCAGCAGCAGCAGTTTGGCGCAAAAGGTGCGCGTCGAGCAAAGATTGGAGTTGCGTGACGAGAGTCAGATACGTTCCCTCCAACGCTTTGAGGTCTGACACAAGATGAGCGACATGCGCGGGAACTTGAAAACCCGCACTCACCTTCGACATTCTTCGCAAACTCTCGGACCATCTCCAGATCCCGCCGTACCGCATCCTGCGCCTGGCTGATCCTCATGGGTATCTTGAGATCGCCGAGTGAATTTCGCCGCATCGTCCCAGTCGCTACAACAGCAGCGACAGCAGACGATCGCCCCAACGATGCCGTCTGAGGCGGCACGTTTTGTGTCGGTGATATTGCACGCGGACTGAGTGTGAATGGTGTGTTGGTCGTCTTGATGGGCGACGTGGACGGCAGGGATGTCGTCGACGCCAGTGAGAATGTCGTCGGCGAGAAACTGTCCCGTTCCTTTCGTTTCGGGGTTTCGATGTCAAGCGCAGTGGCTGCTTTGAAGGTTTGTGGTGGAGAAGGTGGTTGGATCTCCACTGCGGGCTGAGAGTGAAACAAGCTCGCTCTCTTTGACGGGGGCGGTGTTTCCGGCGGCAATGCCGGTCGAATGATTGACCCAGTGTGCGATGAGGACTGAGAATTCGACCGGCCAAGTAGTGAAGCAGACAACGGACGTGGTGTCGCTTCGGCATGAGCAAAAATATCATGGATAATGTCGACATCCGCCTCTGTCTGGCTGTAAGCATTCGAACACATTGAAGGGGAGAGAAGACACACCCTGCTGGCTGCCTACGCTCATACTGCTTCCCTTCTTCCTCCGTCCCCATCGTGCCTTGTTCCCCAGCATCGACAGCACGCGGGAAGGAGATCCTGCCGTGAAGACAGGAGGTGCCGCGGCTGTAGTGGGCAGCGGCGGCACGGGTGGTGGGGGGCTCGGGTTCTTCGGCATCGTCCGCGAGAACACCCGTCGGGTGCGTGCGGTGACAGTCCGATCGTCATCGGCTGCGTCAGTGAATCCAAGCTCCTCGTCTTCTTCCTCACTCGATTCGCCCCAGCTCGGGCGCGAGTTGGAAAATGAGGACGAGCGGGAGCGGTGCCGCGCCTGTCGGGCAGTCGCGCCTGATCCAGAGCGCATCCGCTGTTTCTTGCTCGCGCGCGGCGTGCGAGAGGAGGAATGGGTCGAGGACTCTGAGGATGATGGGGGTGTAGGGGGTCGTGCGATCTCTGATTTGCGGCCTTCCTCTGAAGGCGCAGTGTCTGGTGATGAGACGTGCGAAGTTGTGGCTGCCGACGACGAGGCCTGTTCGTCGACGTCGTCTTCATAAAAGTCGTCCCAGTTCTCGGTGCTCTCTTGAGAGTCGTGGTGGGCATGTCGTGGTCGTGTCGGTGTCGCTGGTGTCGTTGTGTCATGGATGGTCTCGTTATTGTCGGTTGAAGCGGAACCGGACGCAGGGTTTTGGACGTTGAACTCGAAGTCTTCGTCCCAGTTTTCCGAGGTTTCTGAATTATAGTCAGAGAGCAACGAAAACGCAGGAAGTACCGGGGGCAAATAGCAAATGACAGCGCTCAGCAGTCAAGACAAAGATAAAGATGTCGAAAGAGGGTACAAGGACCGCACCTGTGTGATGGTCCATATCGCACGATCATAGGCCTATCTGTAGACGGTAAGTCCGGATCGCCCTGAGCCACAGGCCGCAGGCTAGACGCACGCGCAAAATTTCCAGCTTGCAGAATAGAGAAGATTCAGCAGCGCGAAGGATTCGCAGAACACCAGGTGGCGGAGCTGTGAATGCGTGTATACGTGTAGATTCAGATTTGGGGCTCGCGAGTGTAAGAGTTGCAACTGAATGTGAGAACGTTAGTCGTGGTCGGTGCATCGGGTGTGCTTGCATTCGCTTGGTTGATGCGCCTGATTACAGGCACTGCCACTGATCTCTCTTCTCAGCCGATCTTACTCCCTCCCACATGGCGGCCTCAGTACTTGTAATACCAGTGGCCAGCTTGCGCACATAACGTTCATTTCTCAAACTCTGTTTTCCTTGAGTGCTTGGATAATCGACTGTACTCGCCCTCAAGTCCCAGTTAGATCTCATGATGCCAGCGGGTAATTTCGACGGGAATTGCACCCGTGTGCAGTAGTATCTCCGAGATACACGTCTCAAAAAGTATGTGGTGTGATCTTCTCGACGTGTTCTTTCTGTCATCTCTCCACGGGTATCGTGGCTGTCGTGCTGGGCTAGCGGCATGAAAAGTATATCGTTCCGGATCCCCGAGTTGAGCCGGATTCTGATTGGAATAATGAACTCCCATCTTAGGTTTTCAGCGTATATGCATGTGCCACACCGCTCTGCATGTATCCAATGGGTGTCTGATATCGCCTACAGCAAGCGACCTGTGACGGCTACGACTGGATGGCTGACCACAAATAGATCATTGATGCATCCGGATTGTAAACGTGGCTTGACGAGTTCCGCCCATCGCAGGACACATGGCGGAACGCTGCAGCAACGTGCTGGCCTTTGTTCAGAAGGGGAGGTTATCATCTGATATGGAATGTCAGTCATTCAATCCATCCGTCTACAACTCTCGTTTCATCTTTACCACAGATCAGAAATCATGATGTTGTGGGCGTTAACAGACCTGGCATGCTCATTTTTCGGTGACGAGTTGACCCTTGGAATGTTCGCACACAGCCGTCCGTCTGTGTGCGAATCGCACTCTGCACGCTGGTCTAGCCTCTGTGACAGAAAAGACAGTGGAGGGGGACCCTTTTGATGCTGTCACGGCCGAACCTCGAGGCAACATTCGAAGTAGGCGACGCGAACTCTTTCGTCGCTTGGAGTTATCCGGCTACCCCTGGACATATAAAGCACCGACTACATATAGACTATCTCCTTGATTCCCGCCTCTTTCTCCCTGACCTATGGCGTCTCTCCACTGGGCTCTTGCCGCCGCCGCGATCGGGTTCTTCGTATGGCGCGTGTTTGTTGTACCAGCTCCTCTGCGCCACCTGCCGCGCGTTTCCATCTACGCGCTGCTCAAGAGCTATCTCGCCATGGAGCCAGAGGACGTCCGCATTCGGAAACTGATCATGCCGTTTGTGAATGAGCGCCGGGAAGGGCTCGTGCTGGTCTGGGCCCTCGGCAAATGGATGGTTCATGTACTCGACCAGCAGGTGAGCGCGCTCGGGATTCGTGCCCTTTTTCACTGATTGCGAACGCTCTGCGCAGATCGCACGTCAAATGTCCGATGACCTCATCGGATATCCCAAGGAAAAGCCTCCCCACGACTCCCTCCTGTGGCATCTCATCGGACGGTCAAACATCCTCGTGTCGAATGCAACGCAGTGGAAAAAACAGTCCCGCCTTATCAATGATGCCATCAACCTGAAGATGCCAGTCGAGCAGTTCTCGCTCTTGGCAGACAAAGTGGCGGACTTGCTCGGAGATGGGGAGCAGACCGTCCAATGGGACGACTTTGCGCAGCGCTTTGCGGTGGACGCGATGGGTACTACCGTGTTTGGACATGATTTCGAGGCCATCCGCGAGCACAGCATGTTTGTGAAGGAGTACAACGGTGTAATGAGCGGGATCGCCGAGCCGTTGTACTTGATCGCGCCAATCCTTGAGCGTTTGGTTCCGCGTAGGGCTCTCATCAAGCGCATCGACACCTTGATCGAGCACTTCGTCGCGCTGCTCAGGGCCAAACAGAACTCACCTGGGGATGACATGATGTCGTACATGCTCAAGGATCCAGAGATGACCGACCTGGAGCTTCGGGACAACATGATTCTGCTCTTCATCTCAGGCCATGTACGTTTCCTGTACCATCACTTGTCCCTTCTCTTATCTTTCTTAGGACACAAATGCCGGCGCCATGTCAACCCTGTTCTACTTCCTGGCCACCCACCCCGAGATACAGAAGCGTGCCCGCGATGAGGTCCTGTCGGTCATTGGTTCCAAAGGCGAGCTCACGGCAGAAAACTTGGGCGCCAATTCGCTACCGTTTCTGAACGCATGCATCCGCGAGGCCCTGCGCATCAACACGCCCATTTCATACATCGTCCCCCGCATGTCCAGTGCCGACGGGCAGCTCGGCCGCTACGGGATCCCTGCGGGAACTTCACTCACAATCAACATCTATGCTATTCACCACGACGAACATAACTGGGAGAACCCGCACTCGTTCCGACCAGGTCGTTTCGAGAAAGAGGGTCTCAAGAGCTGGCTTCCCTTTGCATTGGGTTCTCGCCAATGCCCGGCGCGCAACTTCGGCATGTATGAGCAGCGTGTTCTTGCTGCTGCGCTGCTCCGCCAGTATGAGTGGAGACTTCCCGCTGGGTCAATACACGAGGACAAAATCCAGAACGCGTTCTCGCCGTTTGCACTCACCGTACCTCACGATCTTCATCTTACATTTAGCCAACTGTGATCTGTCTTGTACATATGTAGCTCTGTTAATCTTGCTGTGCTGTACATGTAATCGCAATGGTCCCGAAAATGTCTGTAATTACCCCTTCCGACGATCCGTCCTCCAAGGGCGCTAGTGTCACCTAGTAACAGGTGCGTTACCAGCGTCACTCTCCTGCCTTCTGCGATCAAGTGGGTGCGCTTTCCTCACAGCGAGTCTCGCCCTCTGACAACTTGCAGTGGAGGACATATCCACAGGCTCGGACTCGGACTACTCCAGGTTTGCCTCTGCTGCCTATCCGCGTGTCGAATCTCATCAGCCCACAGCACGGTACCTCATCTTGCGTTTCGAGTGCAGACACGCTTATTGAAGCGCACCCCCGTAGTGGATTTCATGGTTCCTTTCCTCCAAAGGGAACGAGTACTTTTGCGAGGTCGATGAGGACTTTATTCTCGACCGATTCAATCTCACGGGCCTGAACAACGAGGTCGCCAACTACACGCAGGCATTAGATCTCATTACAGATCAGCTGGGTGCGAATCGGCGCTGTGGTCGCGACTGAGTTTGTGCTGACGCTTTGACATGGCAGATGACGAGGTTCAGGACGAGCTGCGCGGGTCGCTGGATGTGCAGGCGCGGTTGTTGTACGGCTTGATTCACGCACGATGGATAGTCACCGCCCGGGGTCTCGCGAAAATGGTGCGCAAATGTGTCTCAGTCTTATCCCCGTGACACCGACACGGTGCCGCAGGTCGAGAAGTACAAACGTGGCGACTTCGGGCGCTGTCCGCGCGTGCTCTGCCTCTCCCAATCCCTCCTCCCCGTCGGCCTGGTCGACGTCCCGTACGAGAAGTCTGTCAAGCTCTACTGCGGCCGGTGCGAGGACCTGTACGGGCCCAAATCGTCGCGGCACGGCTCGATCGACGGGGCGTATTTCGGGACGACGTTTCCGCACCTGCTCTTCCTCGTGTACCCCTCGCTGATACCTCCCAAAACCGGCGCGCCGCTCGATGGGCCCAGCAACGGGAGTGCGTCCTCGGAGACGAAGACGCGGCGCCGGGTGCGCGAGGAGATCCCTGAGATGACAGGGACGGAGAGTGTCGCGGAGGGGATCAGCACGGCCAGTGTTGCGATGAAAACGGAGCGGTACAGGCCCCGGATATATGGCTTCCAGGTCCATGAGACCGCGAAGCTGCAGAGATGGCAGGAAGCTGTCAGGGATAGGTGCGTTGCTCATGTTCCCGCCCGGCGATCGACCCTGACTATCCCACGCAGACAAGTGGCTAAATTGGAGGACCTCGAGCAACGCGGTAGCTGATCGATTTTCCTTCCATCGTCGTCATTGGTCGCCCATTGTATTGCTTTCTTCCGCGCTGTTACCTCTATATACATCACTTGCCAGCCTGCTGACACCGGAAGCCCTTTTCTGCGCTAAAGACCAAGTGAACAGTTATCGTCGTAGGATCGTGCCCCGCAAACCGACCCTTGTCCTCTCGTTCTCCAACTCACTCTAGATAGAGCTACTGTCATACTTTCAAATGCTTTTTGGGACTTGGATTCATATTTCAAAGACCGACCATACTCGGTCGCAGACGATGTGCAACAAATGCATTACGATCCCTGAGCAGACGTCATCATCAAGCTTGGTCCTGCACCCTGTCCAATCCAGAGCAGCTCAGCAGTCCTGCATCGAGAGCATCCTGATGATGTAGATAATCCGTATCCCAGTCACATAGCGATCTGAAATCGAGAAGTTCGGACTGGGCATGCGAATCCGCGTCCGTGGTAGAATCCCGTGACGCGAAACGGCTAAAATCGACATCCTCCTGCTCTTGAGCTGCCCATGCCTTCAACTGTGTGAGCTCGTTCTCTCTAATTGAGGGATCTGACAAGGTGATGGAGGGCTGGAGGTAGGGATGATAGAGGGACTGCGAGGGATATGCCATCTGGGAAGTGATAATATGAACTAGAGATCGATTCTCAGCAGGTTGGAACTCACCCACTGTTTGGGACTGAGTACAGGGGAGCCTGTACTCATAGAGGCTGCAGCCGCAGTGGACCGCAACTCAGAGGTGGCAAGTGCGTCCTCGGTGGTAGACCCAGACGATTCGGACGCAGGGTGTGGCCCCGCGGCCGTCTTCCTCTTCCTCCTTTTCCTCGTCGAAGGCATGTACCGGTATCCCGGGAAGGTCTGCGCATGCTGGATAGCCACCTCCCTCGCGCGCGCGATCCACGGCGCGCGTTGCTCGGGGAGCATACTGCGCCAGACCGCGCCGGTGGCGCGACTGATCTGGCACTCCGTCTGGCCCTCGTATTGCGGCAGAGTGCGCTCTTGTCGGCGGAACAGCAGGTATGCGTTTGGGGGGCGGGGGGGCCGGACTGTCATTGAGAGGGCGCGAGCGCTGCTGCTGTTGGTACTGCAAGAGCGGAAATGGAGGGTGGCATAGACGGCTGCGAGATTTATGGCGCGGGGAGAGGATCCGAGCGCAATCCCATTGCGAACAAAGGAAGGCTCTCGTATGGCCTTTGATTCCTGGCCGCAGTGTTCAAGAGGGCCAGTGTCATTGCTTCATGTTACAATGGTCAATGGTCACTTAGAGAGCTCGGTGATCGGATGGTTTGATCAGTGATCCCTGACGCGTAGGTCAAAGCGGCACTTACAGTCTCTTCGCACATCTACGGTTCTGACCTTCTACAAATGGTTCTTTTGACTCGTGATTGTGTGAAATCATCCTAACAGAGCGATTTTTGTGGACTCAGATAATCGCAAACTCAACGCCAGAGCGGCGTTCAATGTTCAAATCCAACGGAAACTCTTGGAGAAGGGGGCCCATCTCCTCTTTTTTTTTAAAAAAATTCATATTTATTATTCCCCTTTGTCGCGTGCGACATGTTAGGGATACGCCGGGCTCGAGTTATGTAGTGTTGTATGTATCGCATAACGTTGCCTTGTTACTTCGTCGTGATTTTCGAGCCTCTGTGAGAGCTCATATCAGGTGCTCCATGTTCGGTATTCATCTTTGTGTTCCTCTTTGTGTTCCTGGCTTCGAGTGGGTCCTATCCTTGCGCGCTTCGTTTGTCTGGTGCCGTAGCGTCGTCTTCCTCAAATCCCAAATCTCCGTGGGTCTTCGCGAACCGTCTCGTTTCGGCCACATATCGCATTAGGTGTGGCAAAGTTTTGGGGCTTGATAGCAGCTTCGCAAGATCTCGCGCATCCTGTCCCCCTGCCTTGTGCAGCTTCCTCCTTGCTTCCTTGTGCGTTGGGCAGGCCAGAATGTAATGTTCGGGTGTCTCATCTCCTCTGCCGCAGCATGGGCATGTTGGTGATTCGGCCTTTCCGATGCGATGTAAATGCTTGGCGAGCGGAACGTGTCCAGTGCGTAGCTGGAATAGGATCGAGGCCTGCTGTCGAGGGAGTTTCTCGACTAATCTCTGGAAGCGGTCAGTGGGTATTTTCTGCAGGAGCTTACCAGCGCGTCCATAACGTGGGGAGACTCTCCATTCACTGTTTGCCCTGCCCATCTCCTCTTGCGCATCATGATTATCCTATTCCTAGTCCCGATAGAGGAAAAAATAGGCCTTCTACTGGGATTTTCTGAATGCATTGTCTCTATCTCTCCAGGAAGCCCTGTCTATAGCGACCCTGCCGTCCGCCTTAGTGATCGGTGCGTGGACGAACGAGGCGGTGCGGCAGAGCATTTTCTTCGGTATAGATTGAATCCGGTATCCAGCGGTTCATTGCGCGAGGGGAAATTGGAGCCCGTTTACGATAACCCTTCCTTCTTGGGTTTAGAGTGTGTTCTATCTCGATCCTTATGCCTTGTTTACTTGACGAACGTGGCTGTACTGCTAGAAACCACGGAATCTATACACAACTCGAGAATGGGCCGTCAAAGATACCGCAGTTCAGAGTCCACAGAGACACAAAGCAGCGCGAAGGACATTATGAAATGTAATCATCGCACAGAATGTCATTAAAGATAAAGTTTCGTGAATAAAAAGATACATTTAGGTAGTCCATTATGTCGATCACACGACGACGAAAGCGCCGAGACAGATGGCGACAAGTACTGTGGTGAGCCCCATTGCTGTAGCAGGTGATGCAGAGCCAGAACGAGCTGAACTGCTCGGAGACGCGCTGGGCGCACTTGCACTCGGCAGCGCCGTCGCGACGGTGTACGTGGACCCAGCGAATGTCGTCGTGACCGATCCCAGGAGACCCGTTTGAGCGAATGTTATCGCTTGGCCACCAGCGGAGGTGAGAACGGTGAACTCCTTGCCGGCTTCCGCTACAAGGGAGTCGCACATTGAGAATTCACGATTGGTCTCAAACAAACGGAGTCAACTCACAGACGACAACTTCAGAGATCCCCGTAGCATCGGATGCGAGCACGGTCACGATTGAACGAGCTCCGGTGGCCACAACAGTAGCGATCGAGGCAGCATCGGTGGCGACCGCGGTGGCCACTGAGACGACATCGGTAGCCACGACTGTCGCAAGGGACGCAACATCAGACGTCAGCGAGTCGAAAATCGAGGCGATATTCGGTGCGGCCTGGGCGGCGGAGATGCTCGAAAGCGCGAAAAGAACAAGTTTGGCAAAGTACATAGTGGGTGAAAAGGAAAAGAAGACGGGTGGTTGAGAAGACGGAGTGAAATACGGTGGAGGGCGAAGTCGAAATGAGCTGAATGAAGAGCCATGGGCCTGCGTGCGTCTCTTTAATACCCGTCCCGTGCGATCGGCACAGCCCAGTGCTGCGCCACATGTCAGATTGTGGCGGTGTGTATGTCCTCGTATGTCCCTGATCCGACATTCTGCGGACTGCGCGTGCGCTTGCCGCGCCCGTTTCATGTGGGTACATTAATCTATCGCTCATGCGCAGCCGGCTCGTACAGCCTTTACATTCCGATTGTGGGTGCGCTGTTTCGGAACACTCCTCACGCCGTTGGACCGCCCGATGCGCTGAATTTACTAGAGACCGGATTTTGTCAGGAGAACTATTCGGTGTCTTGACTGTTTCGCTCGATATCTTGTCTTCCTCATCTCATTTGATCCGTTCCACAAAAATAACCAACACCGATGGGAGTTGAAGGAAGATCAACTTGGCCGAGCCCTGTTCATCCGTTTCAACTGACAGCCCGACCCAGCAATTGACCATACACTAGTTACATCTTCTATGACTATAGGTGGTTCCGCACCAGTGTTGTAGATAAGGGTGTTATTAAGGGTGTCTGCTGAAATTAAGGTCTTAGGACAAGGTAAGAGTTATTAAGGGTGCCTATTTTAAGGGTCTTTTATAAGGCTTATTACCCGATTTGTATTCAAGTCCCAAATGAGTTTATTTGCGTCAATACTGGTTCAAAACATTACAAGAAAACTTCTACGGCGCGTATTCATCTCCGGAGCCCTCAAGAGCACCTGCATCCGGTGCTTCATTGTCATGTTTGGCAGCTAACAGCTCCATGTACAGTGCTTCCTCCGACACCACGCGTTCGCAACAGGCCATCACAATGGGGTTTGAGACTTTCCCCCCAAAGAGAGATGAGAGGGTGGTTGGAAGCCACGAGCTGGTACGTGGACGTTGTCTGTTCATGGGAATTGCTGCCAGTGTAGGTAATTCTATATTAAGACTTATTAAGAGCCTTATTATGTTTTACACCGATGTTAAGGGTTCAACTTATCTTAAGTTAAGTACATAATAAGCCTGGTCAAGTTAAGACCTTAACTACTTATCAACAACACTGTTCCGCACGACGCGTGAGTTGATCGCTGCTCACGTGCCGAATTGAGGGACGTGATCGTGTTTATGCAGCCCGGACATCTCCGGGTACCGGCACATCCTTCATCGATACTATCAACCTGTGCGACACGCGAGAGCAAACAGCCCTGTCCATCTCCCCACGAGAACAAGCCATTTTTCGTTCTCTAGAACTGGCGCATTTCACTCGTAGGATGACTGCCGAATTATATAGAGACAGGCATGGAGCCTGGAGGGCACATCGACCTTGAAGGACTCGATCCGAAGCATTTCCCTTCGGTTAAGTATATCGGCCCGATCATCCGTGATGCTAATTAGAGGTCAAAGCGGGAGGTGTCTCGCAGCGCATCTGCAGTCTGGTTCTTTGGATTGGCGCTTATCTCTCCGGCAATCGAGCAAAGCCGATGGTCTGGAATTGGACCTCCGAGAACTCAGCCCTGGAGCAGAGTTCGATGTGGCTACTGAGACTTCTGACGACATTGAGATCCTGCCACGAACCGTTACACCTTAGACTCCGTTACGATGGACAATCGATCTCTGTTCTCGAGCTCTCCAGCCCGCGTTGCCTCGATCTTTATGGAGAGAATGTTCTGTCGCGACCGCCTCCATGTGCGCGATGCCCTCCATCATGCTGATCGCGGTGCAGCAACCGAATTTCAGCCAGGCAGTGTAACGGCGTATCGGTACCACCGCATCTCGTTTTCGGCCTCCGGCTCGTTCTGCGAGGCAATTTCGGACGCTACTAACGATGACACTTCCTCGTCGGGTTTTCAAAGTGTCCGAGTCCGATCCTGGTGTCTCATCTGGACTGACGTGGGTCATGAGCCCGTAGCTCCCAGATCTTCGGGATTTCGGCGAGGTGCGGCGGTGAACGATCTACGATTACGGAATTCTGGGGCTGTATTGCCGTCAAGAACTTGAATCGCGGGGATAATCCAGAATCTCATGATGGTATGGGACGGCAGGGCGGTGTGATTGTTTGACTTAAAAGGATAAAAACTTTGTAGCGGAATCCTGAGTCACGCCAGTGTGGTCTGTTCAATTCTCGATCTTTTCGCTCTACCAGGCTGTTTAACTCTATTTCGTAGGGTCACTTGCACCCATAGTGCTAGGATTTAGTCAAATCTATGGCTGTAGCCATAAAAATTGCATTCAAATCTATGGCTGTAGCCATAGCATGGATACAGTCATAGCTTTGACTAATACTGCTATGGCTACAGCCATAGCGTGGCAGGCCTTTGGTCCTGTTGCTTTTCTCGGCATCACCATGGCATGTGCAAGATCATCATTGCCATCAGCACCACCATGATCCCTCAACATAAAGTGTTGATCGGCCTTACTGTCTTCAACAAGCCGCGCTGTCATAGTTCGGCCACTTTTTCATCTTATCATCGACGTGTTGATCAAATGATGATCTTATCATCTGCCAGATGGATGTCGTGATACACATCTTATGACTCCATCACGTGTCATCTAGAGTCATGTCGACTCGTCCTAAATAGACACAAACGGCCCCCTGTATCATATATAAGGAGGGCTCAATTACCCTTTAATACAAGTCTCTTGACTACTCCCGCATAGTGCCCACACTAAGCTCTCACTCACACAGGTGAGCTGCTAGACGCTCTCCCCAGTGCTCAACAGGTTATGGGCCCCGAGAGCTATGTCTGCGCCTCAATGGCCGCGACATTCATTGTATGCGCCGTCACTGGCTGCAACGATGAGCAGCGTCTTTAGCCTATCTGTATTCACTTCAGCTGCTGCACAGCGCTGGTGAAACCATGCCCGATCGCGATTACATTGCTTGATCCAGATGCATCGATCTCTCAAGGAGATTATGATCTATGAGAATCTGATCATCTTGATCTTTGATTTTATCTATCAGATTAGATTGATGCTGATTAACTCACACAGATCAATATGTCGTCCAACTCCAACAACATCTTCAATGCTGTCTCCATCTTTGATGGAAAGCACTGGCTCGTATGGTCCGGAACTATGGAGTCCTACCTGGAACATCAGGGGATCTCATATGTGCTGACCGAAACGGCGCCGACTGAAGTCAAAGCTACCGATGGCTCTGTGACCAACGCATCGGAGATCAAGCAATGGAAGCATGATGATCTCAGAGCGAAGGGCAGCATTAAGTTGCGCCTGACTGAGGGAGTCATTGCCAACATTCCAACCGCCAACATAGTGTCAGCTGCCAAGATCTGGGAGCACCTGAAGACCCAATACGGTGGTGCTCAGTGCGCCGACCTATATGCGTACTTCCAAACCGCGTTGAACGCCAAGTACAACGTGGGGTTGCACCCGGATCCACAGCTGCTGGTGATCACTACGGCGTTCGCTCGCCTGGAGAATGAGTCTTTGAGCATCCCTGAGTTCCTCAGAGCGATGATCATTCTCAACATAGCCCGGATTCCCTCCGTCACAGAGACTGTTCTCCAGACCTATGAAAAGGACGAGATCAAAGTCTCAGCGGTTCGTGACGCTCTCTTGACGCATTTCGCTCAGAAGCAGTCTCAAAGCCAGAATCATGTGGCCAAGTTCAATACCAAGCGCAAGCGCGATGATCCTTCGTTCACCAATCAGCAACAGGGCTCTGGCTCTGCACCCGATAAGGGTGATAAGGCTGATGGAAATAAGAAGAACCGTCGAGGCAAGCGCAGTGGGAAGAACAAGGACAACAAGGGCAAGGGCAAGGCTGATCACAGTCATGTCCATGGAGTCTCCGAGATCACTGGCTCCCTCACTATCGGTTCGATCGCCTCGCTCACTCCGTCTATCCCTGCGCCGACGATCTCGCATGTCACGCACATCTCTCGCGATGGACCCAAAATCCACGCGGTTCAAGAGAAGTCTCCCGTTAACAACACTGGGATTATTGACACCGAGTTCCAGAAGCCTACTCGTAAGGTCTTCGAGCTGGCCAAAAAGATGGATGTGACGGTGACCGCAGAACGCTTCCGGACTCTCGACAAGATCGTCAATGAGAAAGGAATGCTCCGCGAGGACGCAATCATGCGTTCTCCATCTCCGGTTGCTTCCGGCTCGAATCACACGCTGGATGGTGGTCCTCCTGCCAAACGCAGTCGTATCGAGGAGATCCCCGACGTCGAGATGGCCACCGGCCAACAGAACGATCTTGATCTTCTGTTTGGAGATAGCGAGTTCGCCCAGGCTGAACCGGTCAATTGGGATGAAGTCGTCGACTTCAACACCCTTCTGGAGGAGATGGACGCTCCTTCCGCCGAAAGGCAAGTACCCTGCCTTCTTGGGCACATGCACAATTCTGATTGTTGCTCACAGCCAGAGCGCGTAATCACCGCCGCCCCGGGTTCTGTACTTAATTCGTTGATGATACGTTCGCATGATTTTTGTACCAATCTATTCTGTGTGCACTCCGATTTTGCTGCCTGCTCTAAGTGTAAGGGGAAACATCATCATCATGAATTAGGGCCTCTATGGCTTCTTGATTCAGGTGCATCTCTCCATGTGACATCGGAGATTAGTGATCTGGTCGGATATGAGAAGCTCTCAGATCCTATTGTTGCTCAGACCGCTGATAAGAACACACGTGTTGCCCTTATTGGTCGAGGAACAGCCTTCATCGATCATTACGTCACAAGGCATGGAGAGAAGACAATGGTGACTTCCCAGATATATCCAGTGTACCTAGTGCCAGGATTACATGGTCGTCTCATGTCTTTGGGCTCCTTACTCAAAGGAGGATCTCGCGTTCGTGGAGACGAATCGCGGATCAGCTTACATCGAGGGAAGTCCCCACTCTCAATCATGGAGTTTAGAACTCTAGGGAAGGACATTGCCTTGTACTTCCTGATGTCAAAGCCTAGCACGGCTGAGACAGTGCGGTCCATGTCCACTGTATACAAGGTGGATTATGAGATCATGCACCGGCGATTTGCACATCCGTCGAAAGACGTTTTACGTCAGGCAAAGAAGAATACCAAGGGCTTTCCAGAAGACCTAGTATTTCCCGAGGAAACCCGACCGTGTAAAGGATGCGCGCAAGGGAAAATGCACCAACGTGCCTTCCCGCCTTCTGAAAAACGAGCGGAGAATCCGTTTGATTTGATCCACTCGGATCTCAAACAATTTCCCACGGTGTCTTATCACAAGTACCGCTACTTCATGAGCTTCTTCGACGAAGCACTCTCCTATGGCTGGACAGTATGCCTTGCGCAGAAATCCGATGCCAAGCAGGCTATGCGCAATTTCATTGCGATGGTCAAGAACCAGTTCAATGTCACCATCAAAAAGTGGCATATTGACAATGGGGGAGAATTCATGGGGATGGGAATGGAAGAATTTCTCGCGGAACAAGGAATTCTAGTGGAGAAGGGTGCTCCATATGCTCACCAGCAGAATGGGCATGCCGAGCGCTTCAATCGTACGATCATGGATAAGGCAGAAGCCATGCGCTTCACTGCCTGTCTTCCTAATTCTTATTGGGAATTCGCTATCAAACATGCGACACGGATCTACAATATGACACCTATCAGGCGTCTAAAATGGAAAACTCCATTTGAAGCTCTTCACAAGGAAAAACCGGATGTTTCCGAACTCCGAGTCTTTGGTTGCGCTGCATATGTCTTTATCCCTGATGAGAAGCGCGCCAACAAGTTATCGCCCAAATCGGAGCTGATGACCTACTTGGGCATTCCTGATGGTGTGAAAGGATTTTTGTTCATGCGCACAAACAATTCCACGTTCGTCGCCACCAAGGCATTGTTCGACGAGGAGTTGTTCCCCCGCTGTCCTGACAGCAATCGACCACCCCACGTTCCTGTTGGAGAGGAATTTCCAGAACGTGATGACCCAGTGAATCCACAAGATCCACCACAGGTAGACGGAGAAGATTGGCTATATGGAGATAATCCTTTTCCATTTCCCATGCCATCTGATCCGGCTCCACCACCTCCCGTACAGGGAAATGATGATGGTGACGACGGTCATAATCGTCAGGACCCACCGCCAGAGCGTCGGGATGAACCCCAGAGGACTCGTAGAAGTAGAATTCCACGACCAAGTCGGGAAGCTTCACCAGCTCCTGAGCCTCGAAGGTCTTCACGCCAGCGGAATGTGCCTACACGTCCAGGAAACGTCTATGGGGAAAAGCGTACCCCTACGGATATAGTCCGTGACATTCAGAACAGCAGAGGATGGAAGCGGTATGTTGGTGAAGATAAGGGTAGCTCCCAATCTTGTGACAATCAACCCAAAACAAAGTCGAAAAGAGAAGTGAATTCGAAGACTGGAGAATACAACCAAGTAGCTACAGTATTTATACCCAAGTCCAGTCTGAGTCATATCTACAACTAATGAGTCATAGGGCTATGTACCGCATGGAGCACTGGTCATGGGTTGTAGTAGAACCTTCCGGAGCATATGTCGTGCAGCCTCGAATCGATAGAGATAACCCCTGGAACCCCTAGCCCGGACCGTCTGATGCCGTGATCCGTGATAAGATAAGTCGTGCCAAGATAAGATAAGATCGCCGATGATAAGATGAAAAAGAGTCGAATTATGACATTACCCCCTCTCTAGGGTCGATGTCCTCATCGACTAGGCCGATGGGCGTGAAGACGTTTTCGTAGGGATCGAAGAGTTGTCGCTGGGGATATGGAAGGCGCTCGTCTTTGGGTTTGTAGCGATGGATGAGATAATCCCAATGTCCGGCTTCGAGAGTTGGTAGGAGGCGAATGCGTGTGTCTGGGTTGGATTGTTTCCTCTGCCAATCTCTCAGGACCTTCTTCGCGTGGGTAAGGTGACGTGATGGTTCCCAGGTGTTCTCGCTGTGCGGCCATCCCTTCCATTTGACCAAGTACTGTTTTCCTCGGCCGACTTTTCGCTCTTTCACGATTTCTTCGACTTCCCACTCCTCTGCTCCTCCGATCATCTTGG